CGTAGCACCTATAGCTGGTCTATATTCATAGTTTGTTCAAAGTAGTTGAGGAGTTGAAACTCCTCCAACTCTTTCCCCAAGGAATCTAACTTGTGAGGAAGACCCAAACCTCCATGTCCCCTTTACCAAGTCAGTCATGAAGGGAGCTTGTGTGGACTAGAAGAGGGTGTAAGGTGAGGGGAATGGGCTGAGAGAGAAAGAAGGAGTGAGAGGACGAAGATGAATTAAATGAGGATGAGAACAATACAAATCAAGATCGTCGATCTTGGGATTGCCAATACGAGATGGCGAGTCTCCAGCTCATAAAAGAGTTTTCTTACAATAATTCTTCTCCCCTTCTCTTGAGGCCACTCCTCACTTATAACCATAGCAGACCTTGACACCCTCCCTTCTTGATGGGACTTATCATCAAACAAGATCCATTGGTGTCTAATCCTATCGTTTGAGTAGGTTTGCTACTAGATCCTTCTGCCCTCATCTTCTATCCTATTGGATCCATCGCAAGTTTCTACATTTTGTCGTCTTGCGCCCCGCTCGACCTACTGGACTATAGCACTAGATTGGGCCAGCTTTGTTGAGATCATGCTCTCCTCAGCCCAGTTCATACTATCAGGACCTCATTAGAGTGCCGATTGATAGGCGAACCTACCCAATCTACATCAGAATAATCATGAACATCAAGGTACGAAGAAGGCTTGTACAGAAGAAGTTCTCAGTCAAGATGTCCCTTCAAAAACCAAAAGAACGTCATGACTGTCCTAATGAGTAGTGTGTGGATTGGTCATAAACTAGCTGACCACACTCGTAGCAAAAGAAGAATGTCAAGATGAGTCAAGGTCAAATAATTCAGTCATCCCACAAAGAGATAGAACTACCCTATTAAAATAGCCCATTGGGCCCACCAGACCCATTTTGAACTTATTCTCTCCACATCTCTATTCTTCCTCCATAATCTCTACTTCTTCCTCTCTTTCTCTCTTTCTTCCTCTCTTCTATATAACTTCATATACACCTCTTCTTCAATACATACATTCTAGAGTTCTGCCCTTGTCAACATGGTATAAGAGTCCTAGGCTCTCTCCAACCGCCGCCTCCTTCTTTGGCACACCACCCTCCTCTGGTGGTGCCCTTCTCCTCTCAATGGCGCCTGCCTCATGGCACCATTCCTCTTGTCGATGCCCTTGTCCATGTCGGCCACTGGTCTTTGAAGCAGCCCTCCTCCGCTGCTACCCCTCACCGATGCCACCTCCACTTCCGCCCCTCTCTAGGGCACCCCACTGCCACCGGCCACTCCTCCAAGCCATTACGCCCCCGCTGCCATGGCCTCCTTTGGCTGCTCTGGGCTGCCGTGCCAAGTGTTCCCTAGGCGGCGTCCACCTCCCCCTCGGGCATGCCATAGGTGCCGCCCGCTCCCCTCGATTGCCGCCGCCATTGTGGCATGCCCCGAGCAACATGCTCTGCCACTGCGGCCTCTGCAGCCTTTGCCGCCTCCACCATTGTGGCCTCCTCAGCTGCAGCCTCTGCTGCCGCTGCAGCCCCTCACTACCACTGCCACCTCCACCGCCACTGTGGCCTCCGCCACTGCTGCAAACGACACTGCCACCGCAGTCTCCCTCCATTTGCACCCCCAGGTCTCTGTCGTCGACTGCACGCCCTCAGCCGGTGCTCTCTCGATGCACCCCTCTCAGCGCATCACCTCTCAGTGCCCTATGTGGCTGTGAGGACATCCCTCTCAGCGCATCTCCTCTTAGCATCAGCTCATCTCCCACTAATCCTGATCTATGAATCTCTTGGGCAACTCCTCGATGTCTTAAGTACCTTCTCCACCAATTCAACTGGCTGTGGATCTTACTTTGATCTGGTCAAGTACTCTATGGCACTCCATCACGGTGCAACTCATTCAACTGATATATGTCTTCAATGGACATAATTATGCATCGTAGGCCTCCAAATTTGAGCACTTTTTAATGTCGCACAGCCTTCTCCACCACTTGTCGATTGATCCATCTAGTCTCATTGATTTATTCTTTACTTCATAGTCTCAACTTGATTCAGTCATTGACATGACTTAGTCGTTGAATAGTAAATCACGCAAATTTAAAATTTATAAAATTAGAAAATACTAATTTTTAAATATTTAGAAGTATTTATGAACAAATATATTAATTATAATTTAATAAACCTTCCAAAAATAGTGTCCACAGCTTTGAAGGCTCTCCTTGGACAAGGACAAGGTGGGCAATCTCTAAATCTCCTTGTGAAGTCTAGAGATCAATGAAATGGGTTGTTGAATCGTCTTCAGCAGCTGTCACCCCACAAAGCGAAAAACCAACGACTTTGTGGCTCTCTGGCGGCTGTCACCCGACGGAGAGGAGTTGGATGGAGGTGGGGCACGTGTCATGAAGCTTCATCCTCAAATCCGCATAGCAAGAGGAGACTCTTTATCGGATCCGGTACACTCTCAGGAGGTGGCGACTCGTCTCTTGGCAGATCGTCCTCTTCTCGACGACGGCTTGTTCATCGATCAATCGGAGATGATTTACTCAATAGATTCGCGATCCTTTTATCGCGAATCGTTCAGCAAGTTTAGTAACAATGCTCCGCAAATCGTGTTGAAGAGATTTTTGTCGATGATCCAGCGATTTTTGTGGCTTAATCCTTCACCGGCAATCTGTAGAAAAGTCACAATAATCAAATAAAAATATGAGTTTTGGCTCTGGAAAAAATTGAACCCACGCCGGTTGCCTGTCTGCATGAGAGAGATTGAAATAAGTACTCTAATGTCCTTATAAAGTGACGTCATTATGGTATATCTCTATTATAAATAAGACGTATTTTAGGTATTAAAATCTTCAAACCCTTTCGGGGGAAGGTGTGACGCAAGTTTAGTCCCACATCGCTTGTGCGTCGAAGTTTCAGACGAATATATAGTAATAATACATTTGCAAGTAATTAGTCCCTTTCTCCCGCGTGTACGACCACTCTTTGCCCCACAGCCTACTGGCCATCGGTGACGTGAAAGGGGAGTGATGCACATATGCCCCCATCGGTCCTAGCTGCTCGAGCCCCCTGCTCACAGCTCCTCCTCGACTGCACTTCCGACCCGCTTGCAGGCCCGACTGGCTAGCAGGTCTCCCTCATTTTGCTATATTTTTATTTTTATTTCTTTTTCTTTATTTATCTCAAAAAATAAAACTATAAAAATCATATAAATTCGTAACAAATCACATAATTAGTCAAAATTTCACGTTAATCAATTGAAATCATTTTTCACACTTTAACACAAATATAAGTCTATTTATCATGAGTTAAGGCTAAAACTATATTATTTACTAATTATTAACTTATGATAATGAAGACTTATTAGTCATCCTTAGATGTTTTAGAACATTGAGTTGAGTGTTACCGAACCTTTTACCTAGATTTGCCCTACGTAATAACTCTTGACGATATTGGAGAACATGTATACCAACCAGATGAATATTAGTCACACGGTCGAGATCTTCAAGTCACTTCTTACCTACAAGTAAGGTGACTCTTCACTTTATACTCATTTTGGTCATCTCCAAACACTAATATAGGAGCTTGTCATCTATTAGTCTCTGACCACTGATCTTTGGACATTTGAGTGCTATCGTTAGAAGTTTCTTGTCAAAGTCTATCTTAGTGAACTTTACCCATCAATTACCTCTTAGATTTGTGGGACAATCCTCTATGAAGACTAGGTACCTGATATCTCTCACATTTTTTCCATTGCACTTCGTGTGAGTACATGCACTCCTCTTGCTATCACTAGTGGTACATCTACTCCTTCGGCGATGATCATCTCCACTCTTCGAGTGTCACATGACCCTACTATTTCGAGACCAGACAGTGGTCGTCCATCATGAGAGAAGGGTTGTAATTCTTTTCCTCCATGCATCTACTGCAACAAGTAGAACCACCCACTTGACAAATGTTAGAAATAATTCAGAAAGCCCAACTCTTCCTAACCGACTCTCTTACCTCCTTCACCAGCTTCTCTAGCGTGGTCTAGTGTCTTGTCTTCAGCTTTTTAAGTGACATTGACCTCCACCGAGTATGAAGCACTATGCCACTCCAAGGATACCATGGCTCATTCCTCGACCAATCTGACCTTACTTCTGCATCCTTCCACATTAAGTATACATGCTCTCCTTGAATCTTCATCTTCACCATAGATTATTGACTCGAAGGCAACCACCCACATGGCCGGCACACCAACTATTTTAGCATTATATCAATTTACCACTCATCATCCACTGATTATCATTGTTGATGGTTGGACTTATCTAGTCAGTGGACATGGCAATATTATTGTTATCCTGAGTATTTCTCTCACCTAGGTTCCTTATGTTCCTAAATTTCATGTTAACCTCTTATATATTAGTGTCATTACTCTAACCATCCTTTGCTCCATTATATTTTTTCTTTTTTATTGTACCTTTCAAGATCTATATACTAGGCGGAAGATTAGTTTAGGATGTGAGAATGACCGAGGTGTCTATGAGCTAATTTTTGATGAATCATTTTTTGGCCTCTAAGCTCTTTTTATTTTCTTTACGGTCACTTCATCTCTTTTGTGGCATCGTCATTTAAGACATCCTTGTTTTGAAAATTTTCAAAACATCTTATATTGGTTTTCTCTTAACAAATTTGTGTGTAAGTCATTGATAGCACATGAATAATGTGCTGGAATACACCTTAACTTAGTTAATTTTATAATTCTATGATATCATTAATTTTTTATTTACATGAATAAAGATGATTTTTAACATGTTTCAAGATAGAGTAATATTTCAAATATTTTTAGAATTTTGTGAGACTAGTCTCCTCATACACATGTGCTATCTGATTAAACCATATTATTTTAGACATTGAATATACTTTTGTGATTTTTCTAATCATTTTCCAACAATTTAGGAATTTATGCCTCAGGTCATAGCCGCTTCATCAACAATTATGATACAACAACTCAACCGTCACTCGTAGGAGTGAGGAGTCGTCATTTCGACAAGAGAAGGATATGATGGCTTAGGAGAGAGCTCACGAGATGGGAGTCCACCGATCCAATGAAGCATGGCCTTGAGGGGGAGGAAGCCACCAAAATCTTCGAGTAGTTTCTCCCACGTGCATGAGAGGTGAGCTAGAGAGGAGAGAGAGGGAACACCGCCCTATATTTTTCGGAAAACCAATGTTACGAACAGCTTTTGATGAAGGAAGCCTTTGGCAATTCAGCTAGCCCAGAGGGTTTAGGGTTTTCCGAGTTCTATATTGTGTGAATGTAGGTGTGTCAATCCAAAACGTTCCTCATCTTATTTGAACGAGGTCTCTCCCACTGCTTCAAGTGAACGCCTCTTCTTGTCAGAAGGAAGGAGTGGTGACGCCAGGTTAGTTTCGAGATGAAGCAGGTTTCATTTAGTTTTGGGTTAGATTTTAATTAGGGATTAAAGAATAGAAGTTACGAACAGTTGATTGACATTCTTACGCTGGCTAGATCTGAGAAATCAGAGTGGGATTCATCATTCCCTCTTCTTCTCTCCTTCCAATCCACAACCCCTTGTTTTCTTTCCCATTCCATCCTTCATTAGAACAAACATTAAACAATAAGCCTCAAATTCCCTGAGGAGACGACCTAACTCGTTGCAATCTACAAGTATTTCGTGAATCAGATTAAAATATAACTCATAATATTTTTGATTGAGAAGATTAAAGACTAACGACACCTGTAGAAAATCTAACTCACTAGTCATGTCAATTAGGCAAACACCATCATGATTCATACTCAAGTTGAGATGAAATTCCATCCACAGCATCCTTTGACTTCATTCATTATAATATTTTGGGCCCCTCTTGTACAATATTTGTCTCAAGCCATCGCTACTACATTGTCTTTGTTGATGACTATACCCGGTTGAGTTAGATCTATCTTCTCTAAGATCATACCCAAGTTTACATCATAGTCGTTCACTTCATTATTGAGATCATCACTCAATACTTTATTACACTCAAGATTCTTTGCACCAACAATACTTTAGAGTTGGTCCAAGATTTATTTTGTACATTTTGTATTGATCATGATATTTTTCATCAAATCACGTGTCCACACATATCTCAACAAAATGATATTGTCGAACAAAAATATTGTCAACTACTTGACATTGCTCGCACACTATTCATTGAGATGAATATTCTTCATTATCTATAGTCTAACACTCTTCTAACAGCCACATATCTCCATAATCGGCTTTTTTTCGCTCCACTTGGTGAGCCATTTTACTTCATCGTCTTTCACCGGATTCTTTTCTTTTTTTCTTACCCCTTCATGTCTTTATATGCACTGTCTTCGTACAAGACTACTCTCTTTCTCTTTCTAAATTTGGTCTCTCGTGCTCTCAAAGTGATCTTTGTTGGTTACTCATACACACAAAAGAGTTATTGAGTTTACTTTCTTAATACTCATCTTTATGTGACATTAGCTGAAGTTACTTTTCATGAGGAGTCTCTCTTCTTTTCTCCAACATCAACTTCTTGATTTGTTGCATCTTTACCACTTAGTTTTCCTCTTGTGATGATCATTATAAATCTCTCTCCTATTCTTCCTATTTTTCTAGTTTCTCAATCGTCAACTCCTTTGACACTTTTTGTTTTGTCACCATTCAACTACTCTACTTTGGGATCAAATTCGTCTTCACTTTTTCTCGATGAGCCTCCTCCAATTGTCTCTTCTATTACTCAAGTGGATGACTTTCATATTTCTATTGCTCTCCGCAAAGGTACATGTGCATGCACCAAACGTCTCATTTCTCACTTTGTTTCTTATGACTAAATTTCTCTTTTCTTTCGTACCTTTGTTCTTTCTGTGAACTTTGAGTCAATTCCATGGTCATATATTGAGGCTGCATAAGTACTTAAATAGAAGGTGGCCAAGGACTTAGAGGTGGATGTTTTGGTGTATTAGGAAACTTGGACATTTATATTTTATCTACGCACTGCCAACATCATCACATGCAAGTGAGTTTTCACACTCAATTATAACTTAGATGGATCTATTATACGTCACAAGACTTGATTGATTGTTCATAGATTCATGTAGGCCTATGACATTGACTACACTAAGATATTCTCTTTAGTCGTTTGGCTCAACTCCATTCGAATGATACTTTCTCTTACAGTAAATCAAATATGATCTTTACATTAGTTTGATGTTTCCAATACTTTTCTCTATGGTGACCTTAAGGAACAAGTATTTATGGAGCAACCTCTTAGGTATGTTGCTCAAGGGGAGTCAAAGAAGGTGTGTCTTTTACAAAGCCTCATTTATAGACTTAAGTAAAGTCTACGTGCTTGATTTGCCAAGTTCAATGGTCTTCTAATATAATTTAGATTCTCACCATATCTTGGTGATCCCACAGTACTTACAAAGACTAATGAATCTAACATTATCATCCTAGCTATTTATGTGGATGACATTCTTATGACTAAAAGTGATGAAATAGACATTTAAACTACGAAATCATACTTGTAACAACACTTTAATATATAAGATCTAGGAATTCTACGATACTTTCTTAGGATTGAGTTTGTCTATCAAGATAACAAGTACGCTCTCTCTCAACAAAAGTATGCTCTTGATATGCTTCAAGAAACTAGGTTACTTTGGTGCAAGCTGGAGTCAGTTACTTATGAAAGTACATCTGCACTTTTAGGATATGTCATCTCTGCTCCTAGAGGATGTTAATCGGTACAAACAGTTATTAGAGAAGCTGATCTATTTCACCTTCACTTGCCCTAACATCGTGTACATCGTTAATGTCATTAGTCAATTCATGCAAGAACCTCGACAAATTCACCATGAAAGAGTTTTATAAGTTTTGACATACATCAAAAGAGCTCCAGAAAGAAAGCTTATTTATAGAAAACATAGACATCTTTGGATTAAAGCTTGCTCGAATGTAGGATATGTTGATGACGAGGGAGATCGCAAGTCCATCATTAGTTATTGCACATATGTGAGTGACAGCCTTGTCACGTGGTACTCTAGGAAGCAGAAGGTGATATCTTGCTCAGTCTGAGTATTGCGTTATGGTTGAAACGATGCGAGAGATGATATGGCTCAATTCACTCCTCAAAGGCCTTAATATCTCATCTCTTACGCCAATGCCTATGCATTGAGATGATCAAGTCACCATCTTCATTACTGAAAATCCTATTTTTCATGAGCAAATGAAGCATATTATGATTGACTATTATTACATCAAGGATAAGATAATGTCGTGTTATGTCTACTCCACATGTTGTCTCATCTCATCAGCTCGTTGACGTCTTCACCAAGAGTCTTGCGAGGTTTTCCTTACAACATGACATGTACCAAGTTAGGCATGTTTGGCTTATATGCTCTAGCTTGAGGGAGAGCATTAGAATAGCCCATTGGGCCCACTAGACTCATTTTGAACTTATTCTCTCCACATCTCTATCCTTTCTTCACGATCTCCACTTTTTCATCTCTTTTTCTTCCTCCCTTCTATATAACTTCATGTACTCTTCTTCTTCAATACATGAATTCTAGGATTCCACCCTCATCCACCCCTATCAACATACTCGAATCTTCAAGAGCATCACCTGAATTTAGAAGTAACTTAACATTTGGATCCATCGGTAGGTTTGAAGCCTAAGATCCGTACATCCTACAATAAATCAAGCACATACTTTTGCTAGTTAATGATCAGGCCTTCAATGGTGTGACAATAGTATATGGTAAGATCAAAGGCACTCCAACAAATATCAAAAATTTAAATCAACCTATAGAAACAACTGAATCAGACTCAAGGAGACAACTTCATTTCATAGATAGATTTTTACAAATAGCACAAATTTGATGAGTCAACTGAAATAAAACTAAAAAGTTGTTCCATATACACCTCATCCTCAAGATTGTTATGAAGAAAAGCATTCTTTACATCCAATTGGTGAAGAGGTCATGAGAAACGGACCACAGAAACTAGCAAGATATGAATTAAAGTAAGCTTCACCACCAAAGGTCTCAATATAGTCATCTCTATATGTTTGAGAAAATCCTTGAGCCACCAAGCAAGCTTTGAGACAATTAATAAAATCATTTATAGTCATCTTGACTATGAATACCCAGCCACAACTCATTGTAGGAGTGGACAAGGGACAAAGAATCAAGTACCAAGTCGAGTTGTGACACAGGGCCTCGATCTTTTCCACCATCACAACACACCGACCATAGTGATTCAGTGCCTAAGAAAAAATATTGGGAACAGAAACAAATGATAAGCTAGAAACAGAGGTATGGTACGACAAGATCAGATGGAAATAAGAAACAAAATTGAAAATAGGATGTTTAGTACATGAACAAGGTACATTTCATAGGGCGATTGAAAGTGTTGAGGTCTTACGACAAGGATGGTATAAATAGGGCTGGTGGTGTTGGGCATAGAGGGGATGGTGCAAGCAAGGAACCATCTGATGGAAAAAGATCAACAATTGGGCCGACTATAGATGACGAAGTAAAAACTTGTGACACATGAAGAGAAGAAGAAGATGAGATCGGTGAAGAAAGAGACTCAAAAAATATTAACAAAATGGGCCCAAAGACACATAAAGAGAGAGAAGTAGTCATAGATAGTCTAAAGAAAGGATATCATTCAAAAAAAGGTAACATGTATAGACACAAAATGATAATGAGTCAAAGGACAATAATAACGATACCATTTTTGGAGGCGAGAGTAACCAAAGAAAATACAATTCATAGACTTTACAAGCTTATCCAAACATGATTTAAGCTGATAAATAAAACACACAACAAAATATGTGTGAAGGTAAATGAAAGAGAGGGTGGCTAAGTTACAGGATAAAAAAGAAAATCTAATGGTGGAGGACGGAAGATGGCATTTGGTTAATAAGGTAGGCAGCAAAAAGGATAGTATCCCCTCAAAAATATAGAGGCACATGGGTGGTGGTAAGAAAGGTATAAGCCGTCTCAACAATATTATGAAGCTTGTGTTCAACAACACAATTATGTTGAGGTATGAAGGGAAGATGAGTAGTGGAGAATCTCATATTATTGGAGTAAGGTGGTCATGGATAAGCTAAAATATTTCTTTGTATTGTCCAAGTGAAGAGTGCAGATGATGATATCAAACTATGTGCGAATTTTCACACAAAAGGCTACAAAGATAAAAAATACCTTAGATCAATCCTTCATAAGATACTTACGTAAGAAGCAAATAATCATCAATTAAAACAAAAATATATATATAACCAAATTGTGATGATATACAACTAAGACCCCAAAAGTTGTAATGAATAAGTTCAAAATGAGATGTAACTCTAAGACACGAACGAGAAAGAAAGAATACCCTAATATGCTTTCCAAACTAACAAAAGACACACTCTAGCATAGACAAATATACTTGAGCTTTGAAAAGACATGCCCAAGCCAACTATAAATTTGAAGTGGAGAGACTACCACAAGCCATTGGATTTAACAAATGCAAGTAATAAAGACCATCATGCTCAACTACTTCACTAATTTTGTTCCTAGTTTTCAGGTCTGACACAACATAAGATTCAAGAAGAAATATAACAGATACACTATATGTGCGGATAAAGGAATTAATGAAAATAAGGTTGAAAGTAGATTAGAGAACATGTAAAACAGATGTAAAGGGAAGACAAGGTAAAAGCAAAGGCAAAAAATTTCTAATATCAAAAATCAAAGTTCTCGATCCATCAGTGAGGGTGAGCAAAGGATGAGAAAGATTTGAGTGGTAGAAGGTAAAATGAGAATGCATATCGAAGATATAATAGGTGGCACCTGAATTAGAGACCTATGGTTGAGATATGCTAGCAAACATAAATGTCAGAGCAATATACAATTGAGTTGTAGACGACTAAGATGATGATCAAGCAATAAAGGTAGTAGGCCTAGGATGGTGCAGAGTCAAAGGTGTAACTAAAGTCACAACCTATTGAGATAAATGTTGAGTAGCCATGCATTCCTTGAGAACCTACTGCACCTCCTATGACAAATTAGGGGGAGTGGATAGAGTCGGTGGTCATGTTAATGGACCCATGGTGGTCTCATCTGATGTAGCAACATAAGCCTAGGGATACCTACGATGAGCATAACAATGATCCTAGTGCGGCCCTTCCGACCACAATGATCTCAAGATGGCAATCAAATTTATCATGTGCGCCTCTATCATGTCTTCAATCTTTAAAGTCACGAAGGCGACCACCAGAAAGAGCAACATAAGAGGCAGCCAAGACAATAGACGTAGGTGATTGAGAGGAAGTTGCTGAAGTAATGGGCACCTATGAGAGGACAACAAAAGATCTCAGCAAGATAAAGAACTTTTGGCTTCGACAAGATGCACCATCATATTCTACTAGAAGACCCTACAAAAAGTTGATGACATTGGAGTAATTTCATTAGCATTATATCACTATCAGATTGATGAATAGTGGTATCAATGAAGTAAGTTCATGCTCAACCCAAACAAATACTTTAAAGTACTTCACCAATGAACACTACCCCTTCTACGTCTTATAGAACTCGACTTAAACATAATATTGGCAGGTGAGATTATTGACATAGATCAATTCAAGATGATTCCACACATGCTAGCATGAGTTAAAATCATACACGATTCATACACATGGTTCTAGGGAGACCCATTGATAATTATAAATTAGTAGTTGCATCTATGCATTAATATCTTACATATAGATACTAATTAATGGGTAGAGAATACAATTATACATGTGTTACTAACTCATTATGATATTTATAATATTTTATCATTTAAGTCTCAATATATATTATTTTATTTATTTATATATATTATGAGACTAACCCACTTAACTTTTATGAAGTCAAGTGGTGATTCTCTCACATTTTCTTAATAATTATTTAATTGTTTCTGACTTAAGCAAGCTCTTATTATGAGTTAAAAGTAATGAAAGAAGTCTAAGCCTTTAACCCAAAGAAAAACTCAAGTCTTATGGAGAGGGTCAGCTTAATATGTTTATGGGCCCTATAGAGGTGCCACTTTGGGCTTAGTCCATTTGGACTTAAAAAGGCTATCAAGAAATGAGATCTAGGCTGCTCATCTTAGGACGTCTTAAGATGAAATTAAGAGAAGATTATAGCACAGTCATCATGAAAGAATCTGAGTCGTCCACCAAGAGAGTCGATTATTAATCATAACCGTCTATTAGAAGGGCCTAATTCTCGAGATGATTAAGGCATCTTGCTCCCCTCTTTGAATGTACTTTTTGGCTCTCTCTCTAGTAGTGACTAGTTGAAGGAAAACGGAGAGAAATCAAGGTCGGGTCAATAGTATTCTCATGCCCAAGATCGTTGTGGAGAAGAGACTACTTGAAGCATATCAAGGTCGTCACGGATCAAGCATCACTCAACCTAGAATTGACACACAACGAGATGTGTGCAAGATCTAGATTTAGAGCATCTTTGTAATCTTCTCCATAGATAGATTAACTTTTAGTCCAAATAATTTTATCATTTATTTCATCATTTCATTACATTAGATCAATTTTCTCCCCTTTGTCACTTTCCATTTCTCTTGTATTTATTCTTGTTAGATTGATTTTGCCCTTCACAATGTCAAGTATATATATATAAGAAATAAGATAAGTAAAATTCTTACTCTCATTACCCATGCTCCTTGAGGACTGACCCTTACTTATCTTAGATAGAAGAGTGAGGTTTTATAAATATTGTTTACATGAATTTAGTTACATCACGATGACATATTTAACCTCTAAATCGAGTTCATCACTCTTAAAGAACCCAATAGATATTGATCATCACAGTTCCACTTCCGAAGTAAATTAGGCTTCGTCGGTGGATCCTCCGTAATGAGATGCAATATATCATATCTTGCAAGATAAACATAAACATCATGACTCTATTTTCAATAATTCTTGGCACCTGATAAGTGGTGAGTGATGATCATCACAACCCCTAATGAAAAAGTAGCCGAATGTATTGTAGACACTATAGGAACAGTAGCCCCACCCATAGATGTCCCGAAACTCCCCAAGTTGTTAGACATGTCAGTGAAGAAGTGACAAGCTGCTGCTCGAGATGTACACTGGGATGCCCTAGGGCACAAAGAAGGGCAGACATGCCCCGAATGTGCCCTAGGGCACAAAAGAGCCCAAAAGAGCACCAACCAACCTGAAGGCATTGGTGGGTGTTGTCAGGTGGTGCTGGTGCACCAATGTATGCATTGTGCAGCTGCACACTACTCGCTGCTGTGCAACGAGCACTACTGCATGCAATGACGCACGGTGGCGCTGTTGCATGCAGCTGTGTAGTGGTGGGCCGGCACTTGGTGGCGCTGAGGAGTAGGAGAGCAGTGCAGCAAGATGGCGCATAGAGGAGATGGGTACTAGAGAGTTGCCATGGAAATAACAATGGAGTGGTGGCCGAGGAGACAGTGGCACTAATAGAAAACCCTAGTAGAGCACTGTGGCTTGGAGAGTCACCATGGAGACAATGATGGAGTGGCAGCCGAGGAGATGGTGGTGTCAATAGAAAACCGTGGCAGATCACCATGGCTCTAATATCATGTAGATAGAAAATAACTTAATAAATTAAAGAAGATGGTAGAAGTTCTATACATATAATGGTGAGGAGAGAGAAAGTAGGCCAAACCCATAAACCTAAAATATATATCTCTACAATATTATATTAGGCATAGAAGAATAGAGGGAGTGATATTTGAAGGCGTAGGAGTTGAATTTGAGGGAGAGGAATCACATTGGTGAGCCTTTGAATGTGTGCCACTACGCCTTAGTCATGTTGTGAAAGTGTTGATGAATGACTTAATGAAAGGGCTGTCCCCATAGAAGAGGTTGATGGGGGACAGTTGTCAAATCTGAGGCTAGTTGTTTTAGGGAAGATCTTTGAAGACCATAGACATCAAAGAATCGGTAGGTGATAGTAGAGGAGCATAGTGATGAACTTGAATTGGAGGTTAAATACATTGTTGTGATGCAACCAAGTTTATGCAAATAATATTTATAAAACCTCACTCTTCTACTTAAGATAAGGGTCGATCTTTAGAGAGCATGGGTAATGAGAGTACAAATTCTACTTATTTTATTTCTTATATAGATATATATATACATGAGATTATAAAGGGTGAAATTAAATGTAAACAGGGTGAAGACAAGAGAAATGAAAAACGTGGCAAAAGGGAGAAAATAAATATAATGCAATAGAATAATAGAATAAATGATAAAACTAATTCAAATTAAAAGTTAATCTATCTATGGAGAGGATTACAAGGATGTCCAAATCTAGATCTTACACAAACCTTGTTGTGTGCTAGTCCTAGGCCGAGTGATGTTTGATCTGTGATGATCTTGGTGCATTCCAGGTAATCTCTTCTCCACGATGATTTTAGATATAAGAATGTCATTGATCAGGTATTGATTTTCCTCTTGTTTCTTTTGGCTAGCCACTACTAGAGAGAGCCCAAAAGCGTCCTCCAAGAGGGGGGGGTGAGATGCCTTAATCTTCTAGAGAGTTAGGCCCCTCCAATAGATAGTTAAGATTAATAACCAACTCTCTTGGTGGACGATCCAAATCATTTCATGAGGGCGACGCTCTAATCGTTCTCTTAATCTCATCTTAAGGCACCCTAAGATGAATGGCCTAGATCTTATCTCTTGATAACCCTTTTAAGTCCAAATGGGCTAGGCCAAAGTGACACCCTCTCTTGGGCCCATAAACATATTAGATTGACCCTCTCCATAAGACTTGGGCTTTTTATTGGGCTGAAGGCTTGGGCTTCTTTCATTACTTCTAACTCATATTAAGAACTCACTTAAGTCCTTGCAATCAAATAATTATCAAAAAAATGTGAGAGAATCATCACTTGACTCTTATCAGTAAAATGTGAAAGATTGAATTTGTAATGATTTAACACTCTTACCATACTCTATTTTGTAAAGACATTTTGTCTCTAAGTTTTGCAAACCTTGAATTGGTTTCAAATGTTGAACTTAACACATCAATCTGTCTCCCCTACATTCACAACTTCAGTTCAATTTAAGTCTCACATGCCAGATCATACTAAAATATACACTTATAGCAATCTCCATCATTGGCCTGAAAAAATAAATAGTATACATATATTTGATAAAATATAAAATACAAATTTCTCCAAGAGTCAGTAACCTTTTGTCAACACAACTTTCACATTTTACCATTCTTGAATATTATCTATGTTGGTCCCTAGATGGTTAGATAATTCAAGAGGGGGGGGGATTGGCTTTTAATTTATTTATCTATTAATATATTATTTATATATCTATATTAATATATTAATATAAAATAAAACAACAAAGAATAGTTCACTCTAGATTTTAGAGTAGTTCAATCAACTCCTTTGACCTACATCCACTTCCAAGGACTCCACTTCAATTTCACTATTCCACCCTTAAAATACACCTTTGATTTTAAGGGAATCATGAACCCTTTACATTCATAGGCTTCGGAAGCCTATAACCAACCAACCTTAGAACTCTTAACCCTACAATTCTTAGGTCTCTAGGTCTCCTCATTGCAAGCACACCACATATGCTTCAACAGACTGTGTGACTGCATTTACGGCACACCACATGTGTCTCAACTAGTCCACATACAACAATCAATGTGACTGCATTGACGGCACAACACAGGTGTCTCAACCAGTCCACACACAACAACCTGAAGTATAAATAATAAATAATATAAAACGATTTGATTGCAGCTTTCAAATCTTCTTTTCTGTTCATCAAGAGTTGTTGAAGGTGTTTTTCAATGCTGGGCTGAAGGAGAAAGCTTTTGAGAGTTGAAGAGATGTCCACAGCTCCCTTGAAGTAGTTAATCTCGCCCTCAATTCTTGCAATCTTGAATGAGTTAATAGAGAGGAAAAAATCATTGTTGATGCAGCAGCCATCACCCAGAAACTATGCTCTTCTCTGTTGCCCTAATTTTGGGTGAACCACCTTTTTTATAGGTAGGCTAAACCACTCCCTTTTAGCCCTTATTGGGCCAAGTGCATAACCTGAAAATTACAGAAAATAATAACAATAAAGAGTGAAAAATTCATAACTCTCTTGATACCTCAAAAATTTGGAACGGTTTTCAGCACTAAATTTCTATTTGAATAATCTTTCCATTGAGTGATCATGTTGCACATTTTATGAGATAAAAATTACTTTAGTATAAAAGGTCATGTTGTCGGTCCATTTTGTCCCAGCATGAATATATGAGGTCAATTATCTTGTAAAATAAATATCAAATCATTAATAATTCTCTCTGAATTTTATTTCTTATGATTTCTTATTATAAAAAAATTCATTTATTACTGACATGCCTATATTTTTGAAGCTATTTAATATAGAAAATTTAAACATTTAGACATACATGTGAGATGATTACATATTTACCTTATATAGATTTTTATTATCCTTATATCCAATTCATCTAAGAGATATCTATGACAGAATTTTGGTGAGATAGTCCAGACCTCATATAATTATTCAAGCAGTTTAAACATCAATATATTTACCACATCAATCCTATATTCAAGTCACATCAAATATCATCAATTTCAAGATAATCAAGTTAATGTCTAAAAATCATCAAAATTATATTTTTCTCTTTTAGAGTTAATCCATACTCAACAATCTATGCCTAAAAATAATGCTGAAAGTTGGTTGCTTGTAGTAGAGTCACTCATTTTGTCAATGACATTAACTAACACATCAACATTGATCAGTTGAATGTATCATTTAAAATGAACACTTTGAGTACGTGGAATATGATCTCAACATGGTTTATTCTTGCATCATAGAGATGATTTGACATAAGGAGTTTCATAAAAGTCAATTACATTTTTTTACCATAATACAAAACAGATCATTTTGATTAAGAAAATTTTCTTTTGTGAAACCCTTGTGTCAAATCATCTCATTAGTTGCCTCCACTAAAAATCAAGTTTGTCTAATTTAATAACCTTCATTTTCCTTTTTTTAGAGTAATTCTAACATATTTTTGGTAGTATGAGCAAGTCGAGTGAACAACAAGTGAGCTGATCCCCCCATTAAACTTTGCTAATGCAACCAAGTCAAATCATGTTCGAGTGTTATCATACCATTACGAAGATACTTAATTGTGTGAACCCTTGGAAAAAAACTCATAGAAGTTCATAATCAACTAAAAAAAGATCTATTTTTCTATCTTTCAACAGAACACCTTTTTGTTAGCTCACTCCACATGAAGGAATGATTACCCAAATAAGAAAAAAGCCATGGTATCACAAACTAACTATTACACATCTGTGGGTAGTTGTTTGAATAGCTACAAACAAAATTCCTAAACAAGATTTTGACTATTTCAAGCCTCCAAAGATAAAAAATTAGACCTAAGGACAAACGGTTACTATCAAGATAAAATAAGCATTAAAAATTTTAATAGTAAGCATGTGCTCTGTACAAAATGTTGATACTTCCTCTATTGAAAGGCACATTTTTCATGGTCAAATGAAGCAATTTGTCTCTGATCTAGAGGGTATCTAGAGGGTACATTCTACTTATTTATTGTTAAGGATATCATTATCATCATGACAAAAGTTATTAAAACCTGTGGGGATTTCAATCAACACATTAGCATTGAGCATCTAGTTGTGGGCCAAGTAGAGCCAGTCATTGATCTATTGGTAGCAATTTACTCCATCTCATTCAATATCGTTTTAATGAATATTGAAAGGATAGCAGTAGGACCATTGAATCCCATAGATACATTCTTATGTAGCTAGAATGATATAAATAACAGAAAACTTATGCAGCTCTCTTTATCTCTCTCTTCTATATACAGAGACACTAAAAATATTTAGAGAGAGAGAGAGATATATATATATATAGAGAGAGATAGAGAGAGAGAGAGAGATATATATATATATATAGAGAGAGATAGAGAGAGAGAGAGAGTGAAGATGGGGGCTACTACTCTTTTGTGACTGGGGGATCCACTCTTAGGGCTGCTGCTCTCTCCCTAAGGTACCTCTCGGCTATGCCGGCATGAACGGCGGCGCCAGTGGGGAGGGCGTTCTCGTCGATCATGAAGAGCGGGGAGTGACCGTTGTGGACGGACCCCAGCGTCTCGTTCCTCACCCCGATGTAGTAGAAGGCGGCGGGGACGATCCCCGAGTAGAAGGCAAAGTCCTCCGCCCCCATCCTCGGCTGGACAGCCCAGTAATTCTCCCGCCCCAGCAGGTCAACGGCCACCTCCCTCACCAGCGCCGCCATCCCTTCGTCGTTGACCGTCGGCGGGTAGAACTGCTGCTCCTTGAAGAAGTCCACCTCCACAACGCACCTGTACACTCTCGCCTGCTGCTCTATCACCTGCCCAAATCAGTCAGATGAGCTCACACGAATGAAATGTATGTAAAAATGACAGGTGATGATGGAGCAGAAGGACGGACCTCTTGGATCCTCCGGCAGAGACGGTGGAAGCTGGCGTTGGAGAAGGCCCGGAAGGTGCCGCCGAGGGTGGCGGAGCTGGCGCCGCCGCCGTGGACGGAGGCGACGGAGACGACCTGGGAGTCGAGGGGGTCGGCTTCGCGGGAGACGAGGCCCTGCAGGGAGAGGACGACGGCGGCGCTGGCGAGGATTGGGGTAGCGGCGCCGCCGTACTCCGGAGAGGTGAGGACGGCCTTGAAGAATCCGCACCCGGCGAGGATGGCGCCGGGCATGGAGGCGACGACGGAGGTGGGGTGCTCATGGGAGACGTGGGCGGCGAAGATGGCCTCTGCTCCCTCCAGCGCCCCTTCCTTGATCATTCTCATGGCGCCGTTCCCCGCCTCCTCCGCCGGTTGGAAGATCAGCCTCACCGTCCCCTGCCAGAAACCCATTACACAATATCAGATCTCTCTCTCTCTCTCTCTCTCTCTCTCTCTCTCTCTCTCTCTATATATATATATATATATATATATATATATATATATATCTGACGGAGGAAGCTCTGTCTCCGGCAGATGGGCTAGGCTGGCCAGCGCCTCTCTCTCTCTATATATATATGGATATGGATATAGATATAGATATGTCTATCTCTCTATCTCTCTCTCTGTGTCTGACCTGGAGGTGGGGCTCGCGGGATTTGAGTATGCGGGCGGCGCCGAGGAGCATGGCAACGTGGGCGTCGTGGCCGCAGGCGTGCATCTTGCCGGGGACCTTGCTCTTGTGCTCCCACTCCACCGCCTCCTGCGAGCAGGATAAAGAAGAAGAGGAGGAAGAGGAGGATGAGGAGGATGAAGAAGAGGAGAAAATGGAGGATGAAGAAGAGGCGAAAGAGGAGGAGGAAGAGGATAAAGAAGAAGAGGAGAAAGTGGAGGATGAAGAAGAGGCGAAAGAGGAGGAGGAAGAGGATGAAGAAGAAGAGGAAGAGGAGAAAGAAGATGAGGAGGGAGAGGAAGAGGAGGTAGAGGAGAAAGAAGATGAGGAGGAGGAAGAGGAGGATGAAGAAGAAAAAGAAGAGGAAAAAGAAAAAGAAGAAGAAGCAGAGGAGGAAGAGGAGGAAAAAGAAGAAGAGAGACCTGAATTGGGAGGGCGTCCATGTCGGCGCGGAGGGCGACGAAGGGAGGCCCGCCGGTGCCGATGGTGGCGACGAGACCGGTGGCGGCGACGGGGAAGCGGTAGGAGATCCCCATGGCGTCGAGCTGACGGCGTACCAGCCTGCTGGTCTCCATCTCCTCGAAGGCCAGCTCCGGCAGCTCGTGGATCCTCCTCCTGATCCCCCTCAGCCACTCTCCCGTCTCCTCCGCCATCGCCATCTCCATTATCGCCGCCGAGACCCCGCCAAAGCCGCCGCCCACCCGACTCCTGTTCTTCTCCTCCACTTCCCCCCCGCCGCCGTATACCTGCCCGTAAGCCGCCTCGGAGGAGGATAGCAAGGCGGTGCCCCCGCCATGACCAGCGGCGAGCTGGAGGAGGAGGAGCGGCAGCAGCAGAAGCAGGATGTGGGGGAGACCGAGTTCCATGGCGACGTGAAGAGCTTTCCCTCTCCCCCTTAATTTTTAAAGACCCCGTGAACGGTCAAGAGGATACTTTTCATCCCAATAAATACCCCGACCCAGAGAGAGAGAGAGAGAGAGAGAGGGTAGGGGGAGGACGGACCCTATGGGGTAGGTTGTAATTTTAATAATTACAAGGGTTAAATGAACCCTGAGCTAGAACTGAGGTCCGTCCACGTATGGGTCCGACCTTCCAGAGTAGGAGAGCAATTTTAATAATGTTAGGGGTTTTGATGAAAAATGGGGGAAATAACAGGAGCGGTGGACGGTGAGTCTTGGGCTGTCTCTGTCCATGCTTAGATCGTCCAAGGGGAGCTGCCAGCTAATCTCATTTCACACATGGGGAAATACGAAAGTCTTTCTCCAGGATTGCGGCCGTCCTCTTCCGACGACCGAGATAAAGCGGAGCGCTGGGGCCCACTGACCTCATTAATAAGCTTCGCCACGTCAAACTATCACTCTCTCTCTCTCTCTCTCTCTCTCTCTCTCTCCACAGACATTTGTACGACCAACAAAACAGAATATACCAATTTGAGAGTTAAAAGAGTTATTATAATGAGAGTTAAAACTACTAAGTCCTAAGGAAATATCATTTCCCATTGTAATAACTATCATTATAATAACTCTTTTAATTATGAGTTGGTTTCTTTAAATAGGGGGGGTATTCTCAAAATATTCCGACTAATATTGAATAATCCCATTGAATTTTAAGAATAAATTAATTATCAGTTATTAGCTGAAGGAAAGTGGTAATTTAATGACCAATATTTTAAAAGATAGACATTTACTTGATCGTGGTCTTATCCACATGGGGTATTGATAAGAGAGAGAGAGAAAGGTGGGGTAGTGGGAGTAGAAGAAAGAATGCAAATTATTTTTTGAATTTATATAAGAATTACCTAGTCTCATTATCTTTATTATATAATATTATTACTTAATTAAGAAACTGATTATCCATATGGGGTGAGAGAGAGAGAGAGAAAGGTGGGGGAAGAGGGAGTAGAAGAGAGTACGTAAATTATTTTTGAATTTATCTAAGTATCACCGAGTCTCATTAGCTTTATTATATTATATTATTACTTAATTAAGAAACTGATTGTCCATATGGGGTGAGAGAGAGAGAGAGAGGTAGGGGAGAGGGGAGTAGAAGAGAGAGTGTAAATTATTTTTTGAATTTATTTAAGTATTACCGATTCTCATTAACTTTACTGTTATATTATTACTTAATTAACAAACTAATTATATATATGCGGCGACATAGAGAGAGAGAGGAGAGAGAGAGAGAGGGGAGTAAAAGGTTGTGAATTAGTAAACTGTCACGTTTTGGACTTGACAATTATGGATTTTCTGATTCGAGTGGCAGTTTAGAGGGATATATTTCCCACGCGGAGAAATCGGTTTGTGGGTACGTGAAACCCGAGGCCGATGTCAACCATTGACTCCGCGGCCTTCTGAGCGGCGGAGGCCGCTGCGCCGATTGCGGCGGACAGCGGGAAACGGCCGCCGACCCACACGATTCCACCGAGTGGCGACGGTGGTCTTCGGTATGTAGAGGCAGGGCGAATACGGCAGGTTGTGGGTCCTAAGATTTGTGATTGACTTAGACTTCGTAGTTCGGTCGTCACCATCTCGTCGCCACACCACACGATGGCGGCAGTGGTCGTCGCCACTCATGGGAGTTGTCTACGTCGGCCAGGAGCAGGGAGACTACGGCGGCTCGTGGGTCCCACAATTTATCGTTGACTTTTACTTCATCTCTCTCTCTCTCTCTCTCTCTCTCTCGCATACGGCCAACAATTGAGATGAATGCTTAAGGCATCCCCAATTTGACCGTGAATGGTCAAAGGTCAATCGGATGGATAAGCCGGAATGAATGAACCTCCCATCGTCCCGGCCGTCGCTACTGCTCTCTCTCTCTCTCTCTCTCTCCCTCTCTCAACCTCGACATGTATCAACATGACGAGAGGAGACAGGTTGCCGAGCGTTTCTCTCTCTAGAACGGGAGGGACACCCTAGCAGACAGTAGGGAAATTGAGGAAGAGCCAGGCGATGAGATTATCTGCCCGTGCACCCACAAAGGTAGAGAGAGAAACAAGAGGGCGTGAGAGAAGGAAGGAGACGACTCGGAGAGAAGTACACACATCTCATCCTCGATGAGTATCCGCCTGTGGGCTAGGTCATCCCCCTGCCCAAGGAAGCTAGAGAGAGAAACAAGGGGGGAAGATGGCAGAATCTCTCCAGGCCTTTGCTGGGCTAGAGAGAGAAACGATGGGGGTAGATGACCAGTATCTCCATGAATGAGAAGAAAGAAAAGGCTGTGGATCTGCCATTTTCTCTGGTTCTCAGGCGATTCATATGCCTTCAACCACCGTCGAAAAGGATCTCATCATAGAAGGATAGGATATTAGAGAGAGAAAATGATCACCAAAACAAGGACTTTTGGATGTGGATCCTAGAGTGAGAAGAGATTTCACACACCGAAAAAAGTATTCTTGCTCAAGATCAAGAGGATGGGAATAACTGTATTTACTACGCACAGGATTCTAAAAATAGCAACCAACAAGCAACCTCCCCAAAAAACAATATATATATATATATATATATTGTTCATAAAATAAGGTTCCCTCCGAGCCAGTACATGAAAAACAAGGATCCTAGAGAGAGAAAATAGTTTTGCATATGGGTCTTAGAGTGAGAAGAGATTTCACACACCAAAAAAGCATTCTTGCTCAAGATCAAGAGGGGAGAGAGGGAATAGTCGTATTTTCTATGTACATGATTCTAAAAATGGCAGCCAACAAGCAACCTCCCCAAAAAAAAAAAAAAAAAAAAAGGAAATTACTCATCAAATATGCGTCCTTCCCAACCAGTTCATGAAAAACAAGGATCCTAGAGAGAGAAAATGGTCACGAAAACAAGGACTTTGGATGTGGGTCTCTGAGTGAGAAGAGATTTCACACACTAAAACAAGTGTTCTTGGTCAAGATCAAGAGGAGAGAGAGGAAATACTTGTATTTTCTATGTACAGGATTCTAAAAATGGCAACCAACAAGCAACCTCCCAAAAAAGGAAAAGAAAAAATAATCTGTTCATCAAGTAATCACTGGATCAAACTACAAAAACCAGTAAACGTTGAGATGCCTACCTCATCGCTCCGACGGCCGAGGTCACTCCCTCTTGTCCTCTTCGGGTTCATCCTCCAGAGTGAAGACGTCCCTATCATTGGAGTTGACCTCTCTCTTCTCCTGCTTGACCATCCCGATCTCTGCCTCGGGCAATGATTGAGTCAACGACTGTGCCTCCTCATCGTCGGCATCTTCTCCTAATTCATCTGAATAGGCGTATCTGTTTCAAAGATTCAAAAGCCCGTTGACCTAAATTACTGAATGATATAGGCACAATCTTGAAAATAGAGGTATATCATTCAGATTTAATAAATATATTCATAAATTTCCTCGCTACAGTAAAAACCCTTAAACGATCCCTCCGTTGACCTAAATTACTGAATAATATATGCAAAATCTTGAAAATAAACGCATATCATTTGGATTTAATAAATATATTCATAAACTAACTCACTAAAATAAGATGCATAAAATAGTATGCTATCGGTGTGTGATAACTATATTGCGTTTCGTGATTATGAGCTTTTATTCGACAGGTTGCCAAGTATGGAAGGTTTTGAGAGCAGAACCTTCGAGAACTCTGAGACGGAGCCCAGAGATAGCAGATCACGCAGAGCACAGCAAAGGCAAGAATGTCCCAGAAGGCGGTGATGATCCACGCGCTCTGCCACCTCTCACTGAAAACATCCGTCGCTTTGAAATAAACCTACAACATTGAGAATATTTCAGATTGGACATTAGTCAAAAAATGCATTAACATTCTTTCATCATGGCCAGTCTGAACATGCCCTCATTCCATCGAAGAGATATCATATCGGCTCATAAATACGATACTTGAAACTATAATAAATCGATGTGGGATTATGTAAATATAATTTCCATCCATCGAAAGGAATATATGTAAATACATATATAAATATCTGGTTGCATATAAGCATAGAGAGAGGTAATTCGCTCAGAGGCCAAGAATCGCTTCCCAATCATGGGAGAATGCTGTTGAATTTTGCCCGAGTTAGAACAGCTAGGCCGAAATCTCTCATCATTGAGGCCTCTTTGCTATGTGAGCAAAATCAAGCAGAAAAAATATTTTAAAATCAACAAAAAGAAAAATAAAGGTACAGGAAAAAAGAAGATAAAAGGATTGTAGGTCAACTGATGGAAAAAAGAATAAAGAAAACAATGGATGCAAAAGGGGGTCAAAAGGCAAAGATCAGGATGGATACTCAGCCAAACAACCTGCAAGCATCACGATGTGTTGCGATCTATGACTATGTCTATGAAGGCAAAATGTGGAAAGATTAGTCGTGACATCAGAACAAAAGGCACAGGAAGTTAAGCAACTTGGGACTGAATTTATTTACTGAAAATGGAAAAAGAAAGGGAAGCAGAGAAACATGAAGTAACTGAGGAAAAGAAGATGGACAAGGATAGGGAAGGGGAAACCATGGGAAAGTTATAAAGCCACACACTGTTGTTTAAATTCAATTGCCTAGCCAACTAATTGCTTGCAGATTGTGCCTGGGTCGAAGGAGAACTCATAAGATGGCAATCTAAGGATATTACCCAACCGTGTTTGGAACTATCTGCAAGGTGTGTTCTACACCAATAGATGCATATCATAAAACCAGGGAAACTCTGCACCACCAAGTCCAGCCTTCTGTCAATCAAGTGCAATGAAAGATTGTCATAAAACCCTTCATATTCAGCTCGTCATAATTCATTTTCCTCTACAACGTTCCGTGTCATAGAGAAACAAGAAGTTGATACTAATTTTCCCTTTCATGATTTTTGAACTTTGGGTATATCTAGACCTGCAACCTTACCCACAAATCTAGCACTTATGGGCAATCAGAAACGTCGAAATATGGCCTTGGTTCTAAAGGAGTAGTCAGAACAGCAGAAAATGAGAGTGGTCTATCCGTGAAGGAAACTCAAGGTACACTGCCCCAAAGAAGCAAAGATATTCCCAGAGGTTTCTGCTAAAGAACAGGGAGCTTGTGAATGTCTGGGGGTTGTACAAATATCTAGACTATACAGCCAGATTCAATTTATAAGGTCGTTCGTTTCAAAGATACCAACATCCTCTTTGAAAGTAGTATACTAAGCATTCCCAAAATATTGAATTTGGATTGTCAGCATCTTCAGTTGGGAATCTCATATGAAATATTTTTGTCCCTGGCATTGGAAGAATCGAATGAAGAATTTAGGATCATCAATGAATTGCTTTTTCTTCTTATATAATCCACATATTAGTGTTGTAAATGGGTTTTGTTGTAAATGCTAAGCGTAAATCAAGCCCAGATGTAAAGCGGCGTTCTTCTCTCATCGGCATGCAGGATGGGCTGGCATCCTCTTAGCACAACGAGAAATAAAATGGCTGCATAGTCATATAATCATTTAGATCCTGATCGTCATTTGTGGGAAGACATCCGTCACAAACAGGTTCATCGTCACAAGTCATATACTGTTTGAAAGCTATTTTACACTTGCCAAATGGAAAACTGATGTCAATATCACAACCTCTCAAAAGCTCCTTAAAAGGGCATCACAGAGGACATAGCTGGTACCCTACAGTCGTTGTGACAAGCTGTGTGGTAGAATATACGTCTAAGGTTGGCAATGTCGCGGCTTGTGACCCTGGAAGGTGTTCCTGCAAAAGAACCGGAGGCTTACCCTTGGTCCACAGTCAAGATCAAGGGGCTCTTACCTCTATCCAGTGTTGTGGTTTTAGCCCTGAAGTATTCAGCATTTTGACTAATGGGACAGGAGACCAAGGGTTTTCTCGTACACCCTCCCATAAATGGGTAATCTACCGAATTATAGGAGTAGCTATCACATGCTGCTGCTATGACAGACACCACTGTTGTTGCGAGTGGTGTTGATCCGATGCTTCAAATCTTATAGGTCTCTACCTGTCTGCAATCGACAGCTAGAGGATTGTCATGGTCTCATTCTCAAAGGATCTTGAATTTCTGTGTAATTGTTTAACGGCACGACTTAACTCAAGGGGGGGCCAATTTCGGCGTAATTGTTGGGGCCCAGGGGAAAAAGGTTGGTTGTGATCTTGAATCCTAGTATCAGACGCTTAAACTCAATACTTGTTGGTCCAGGATCACTTATTCATGGTTATTTCTATGTTACATGTTGATCCATGTTTTTATCCCTTTTCATCTTATGAGTGACAGGGTGTAGTTAGCATTTATTGATTTTTTTTTCTCTCCCAGTACGTATTGAGATAGGTGTCTCGCCACCAACATCGTTGTCCTAAACAGGAATGATTTGTCAAAAAATGGTCTTAAGTGGACAGTAACACGGAGTGATAGAAAGAATGCTCGCTCATAATAAAAAACATTTTATAACAATTAGATTTTTTAAGGGAAATACGAATTGAAGGACTTTTTGGTTACAACACAGAATCATCATCAACCAAATAAAACTAAAAGATGAACATAAGAATCATTTACCTCATATCCAATCCAAGCAACGGAAGCAATAACAGACACTGCCAGAGCATTGGTAAATTTTCTATAGATATCTAGCTTAGCAGAACTCCTCCTTGCCTGAGATTAACAAAAGCAAATGAATAAGTCAGAATATAATGCCTATACATACAAAATAAGATGGCAAAAAGGAACAAGCAACAGCAACTATAGTCTATAAACTGAGGAAGGAAAACTGATCTAGAAAGCTATGGTGTTAACTTTCCGGCCACACACTGTCTAAAAAAGGACAAACTGATTTACCTGCAACTTCTCAAGTGTACGAGACAGAGATGTGAAAATCCATAGTATTAGAAATGCATCCAAGAATGCATCTGGAAGAACAAGGAAAAGCCTTGCTTTGCCCGAGATATCATTGACCGTTCCAACATTCTCTACAATATCCAGAGCTTCAGTTGCCAAAAAGTATGTCACGCCAAGGAGAAGTACCTTTGAGGTAAGGCCTCCAAGTGTTGGCCGAACCACACCATAGCCCATAGATACAGTGAGAATAAGAAGGCGCGATATAGTTTTCCTTAAGGCTCCCACTGTTACAACACACAAAGTGATTCCGACAGGCCTCTTACCAGTGTTATTGAAGTTCAAGTATTCGAAGTACCAAAGAGTCATTTCAAAAAACCCCAGAGCTATAACGATGCTTATGTAGTTTTGAATCTGCAGTATGTCTCTCCAAAACTTGACACATTGGGAAGACCAGACAATGCTCAGCGCAACATACGCCAGTAACATGAATATGTAAAATGTCATGAGTGGAGCCATTCTCCCTGGCAAATAACCAGTGGGGTTCTTCCAGATAGTCTTCCCGCTCATCTTTAGCCCCTTCAGCATTGGATCACAACTGATAAAAAAAAGGTTATACATCCCAGTCCTACTGATATTTACATCCACACTCTCCATCTTTGCTGAAGCGTAATTCGCTCTGAAGAACGTGTTCAGTACATAGGGCCAAGCTGAATCCACGGAAGATGGTCGTCTCAAAACCTCCCCAGCCTTGCATCGCTCAATCTTAGCAAGGTCAGGGGTGCAACATATAGACTTTTGTCCCCCATATGCAGACCCGCCAATATTGTTCCGATCAGCAGCTTCAAATAGAATGGCTTGTACCAACCCCGAACTATGTTCCATATTTGAATAATGCGAGGATGCTTCCTCGCTCCTCCCAAACGTAACCTGGTCAAACCTGAAAAAAATTAAGATACTTAGGCAATTACATCTATATGCGCTGCTTTTTGTAACTGCATTTTAACCTCACATTGAAACCGAACTAGGTTTGACTGAGAATATATGGATGTATTGTTGAACGAGTATATAAACACTACAGATATGACGATCACAGGGCACAATAATCTCTAAAAGCAAGGTATCTCCAGCAAAGAGAAGGAAATTATATCCCGACATCATGCTCAGTGAATGATAAATCCGCCTACTAGAGGATCAGTGCAAAATAAAAAACAGGACAACAGAGGACTCTTCAAAAGATTGCAAAATCGAATACGCACAAAAGTTTCGTCAAGAACTACAATAAGACGTTCTATTTATCGAGAAACGTGAAAGAAATTAAAATTCATCGGTAATCTGCGTCAATGTTGTTTGATTATGTTTTTCTTTTCAGATCGAATATGCAAATCCATTAAGAAAGTTTTCGTCCAGGGTCCAGACTAACAAACGCCACGCCATCGATATACGAGGTTAAAGTTGGGGACAAATGCGGAAGGCGCACGTAAACCGCCCATCCCCCGGCGTATTGCTAAAAATAAATCCCAGATCTAGATTCCTCCAATAACATCCATGAAAATTAGTACCTAACACACGGTCCCTGCAGTGCAAATTTGAGCATAGTACAGTTGTTGCGTGACTGAGCGAGAGGAATGACACAGAGCGAGAGAGATGTGCCCAGTACCGGATAAATGCCCGGCCATCACGGACTCCCGGTGCCACGGAGTTGTCGCCGGAGCTTCCCACGCGAGAGGCGGCGATGCCCTCGCTGCCGCCGGCGAGGAGATATGCGTTACCGACCTCTCTGAAGGTGTCGCCGCTGTAGACGTGGACGGAGGCCTCCACTCCGGATCCTGCGGCCACGACGAGGACGACGAAGAGCAGCGCTGATCCCCCGCGATCCATACCCCAGACACACAGAAGAGAGAGAGAGAGAGAGAGAGAGAGAGAGAGAGAGAGAGAGAGAGAGAGGAGAGATCCCGATCTCCTCGGGCAGGGCGACGAGGTTTTTACTGGCAACCGCCGGCGACGGCGGAGCGAACCTCAGATTATGACACCTCACTAACCGGTGACGCCGCTAAGGACGATGTGAATTGTGAGCCCCATATTAAAGGTTTATTTATTGCCATACATGATGCAAATAAAGCCGAATATTTTATAATGAAAAAGGAAAGGGCCATGCTAAATTCAGACATATTAGCAAGTTTTCAAAGTATGAAACATTGTGTTTCATGGGTTAGTAAAGACTTTGGTGTTGTCCTTCTTTGAGTACAAGGTTGACTTGATTTATAAAAAGTCCACTCATTCTAATATGATTAATAATTATCTATATTTTAGAGCTTCTTAAATGGGTTGACTTGTTGCGATAGGGTCAATGAAAAATCTTGACTCTTTTTGGGCCTGAATAAAGTTGACCCTTTTTTGGAAATGTTAATTCCAATATCAAAACATATACATAATTAAATAAAAAGTGGTCAATATTCACCAAAAATGTCACAGCTTGGACCTTATTCCATAGTAATTTCATCACTCCTATTATTAGCCCTACTTTTAGTATCATCTAGAGAAGCTCTCCAGTTTCATGGTATTTCACCATGTAAGATATTAACTGATTGTTAATATTCTACATTTCCATAACTGCAGAGATTAATTATTGTCCTTTTTTTCTGCATTTTAATGGTGTCTTTTCTTGTTAAAATTGTTTTTTTTCTTTATAAAAACTAATTAAAAAAATGGCAACAACTTAGCATAAAAATTAGGATTTTATGGTTAATATTATGCATCCATGAGTTACTCTTCTCCTTTGGCCGTCATCGCCTCTGATTAAGTTAGGTCTCAGCTTTTTTTCCTAGCAATTCAAAGCCTTTCTTCTTTTGAGAAAAAATCAAAAATTATAACCCAAAAAAGTAAGCTTGGCCCTATCAAGTTGGCAAATCATGTCCATGTTAGTCATCATCACTTAGCACTTGCATGGTTAACTAGCAATGAACCAACCCTCCTTGTCTTCGACTACAAGCCACCATTTAATTATGTTATTTACCCCCACATAGTTATTTCGGAAAGTTTGCTTAATTTGCAATAGGCACTTATTTTTCTCCATCAGCTTATATGAACCAAGTGAATAATTTCCATTGTAAGCAAGGTTTTTCTGCGTCATGAACTTACATGTGCAAGGTTAGGTCATTTGCACATTAAACTTAGGGATATATTAAGGTATGAGCATATATCCTAAGTTTTAGTCCAATTTTGCCTACATTTTTTTTTATTTTAACATATTTTGTTTTATATATCTGTGAAAATTTGCTTAATTTGTAATATGCACTTATTTTTCTCCATCAGCTTATACGAACCAAGTGAATAATTTCCATTTAAGCAAGGTCTTTTTGCGTCATGAACTTACCTATGCAAGGTTAGGTTATTTGCACATTAAACTTAGGAATATATTAAGGTATGAGCGTATTTTTAACATATTTTGTTTTATATATCTGGGGGACCTATGTGTATACTATTACTTTCATTTTTTCGTGTATGGATTGGAATATGTTAATTTTGGGGTCAAAAATTAAGTTTTCCACTTGACATTTATGAAAATTGCAAGATAACTAATAAACTAAAATTTCTAATAAATCAAGTTTATGGGACAAATAACATTACTTGAGGGATTCCATGTAAGATTTCATGAAAATTAATAATGATACTCAAATAAATACTTGAAGGATTAAAAAAAACTTTGGAAAAATACTGAGGTAGTGTTTTAAATATCTAATTAAGGAATTAAATGATAATAACTATTAAAAGAGTCAACTTTGCACAATGATCATGGTTAGCAACTTAGACATTGATTATCGTTGGCAAAATTTAAATGAGATCTCCATTTGCATATTGATTATGGTTTGCAACTTTGGCATTGATATTCTTGAAAGTAGATATTAACACCTCATGATTATGATTTAAGGGCATAACCATATAACGCAGTCTTAGATAAAGACTGATATTTTGATGAACTTAAAAAAGAGCCTATATAAACTTTCAATGCTCCATTTTGCTCAGCTTTATTTAGCATTGATCTCAAATTATTCGACCAGAATAGTCTACGATGTGCATCCAGAGAGAGAGAGAGAGAGAGAGATGATTCAATGATTCTAGATGTATTTCAACCAATTATAGGATAGATAGATAGAGAGAGAGAGAGAGAGAGAGAGAGAGAGAGAGAGATGGTTCAATGATTTTAGATATGTTTCAACCAATCTACAGCATAAAAATCAGTGGGAACAATCCAGAAAACAGAGTAACCTTTTACGAGATGGAAGATAAACATACAGATGGAGAGGGATAGCAAGGGAACAACATACAATATTTGCATCACAGAGAGCTTGTCTCCGTACCACCAAGCATCACTCTTTCTAGGTCACATCTTCATCTATCAGTGACGCCCCCCCTACTGCTGCCACTCCGCCGCCGCTGCCGATCAGACCTTCTCATGCTCCTCCCCAGTTGGATCACCGGACCTTCCTCATCACTGCCACCCCCGCCCCCAGAGGCACCAGAGGCAGCCCCATTGCTTCTCAGGCGAGAAGCAAAGCCAGCACTCCTTGAATTCTCAAATGCCCGGAGGAGCACCAAGAAATTCAGCACATTCGGTGCAAACCCCCTGGCACCTCTGCCGCCACCGCCACTGCCACTGCCACTGCCTCTTCCAGCAGCATCTTCATCATCATCATCATCATCATCATCGTCATCATCATCATCATCATCATCATCTCCTTCATGACCATGGCCGCCGCCGCCACCGCCACCCTCAATCACATAGTCCCCCCACACGACTGCCCCTGGTGTGGAAGATCTTATGACACTCATCACATCCTCATGCTCCCGCTCATGCTCGAGGCTTCTCCAATTCTCTTTAAGAACTGGGTCAACCTCCCGGGGCTTTGCAGAGGGGTGCTCGGCCCTCATGTGCTTCCTCAGCTCCTTGTAAGTGCCCACAAAGGAGCAGTCTTCCTGAACACAGCTCCTCTTCTTTGAATTCAGGTGCTCCCTAGCCGCCTCCACCACGGTCCACCCTTTGACTTGGCCGCGGCACAGTGGGCATGCCAGCTTGGCAGTGCCACCACCCTCGTGGTCGCCGCCACTAGCAGTGGGCCCATTTGTGTAGGCCTTCATGTACTGGTCAAGACAGTTGGAGTACCTGTAGCTGGTCCCACACATGTAGGGGCGGCAGCCCTTGTCGTGGGAGGAGCAGAGGAGGAGGACGGCACTGTGTGGGCACTCCATGCAGACCGAACAAGTGGTGTCTTCCCAATCTTTCTCCTGGATGAGTCTTGACTGCTTCCTCGGCTGACCCTCGCTCTCTATTGGTCCATGGGGGTGGAAGTCTGAGCGGTGTGGGACCCATCTGGATCTACAGGAGGAGAGTCTGCGCGGGCCACGGGGAATTCGCGCCATCTCTGGGAAGAATCTGAAATAAAAAATTTGGAGGAGCAAGCAAGATGTTTCTATGAGAAAGTTCATGATCATGAAGAACACATTTTCTTTCTAAAAAATAATTTTTTTGGTGGTAAATTATTCTCATTACTGATCTTTACACCGATCTTTATCAGTTATGATTGATTAGTACTGTTCCCTGTGATCTCAAGGGTAATTCACATTATGGGTTCCAAGAAAAAAGGGGGGGTCAAGTGAATCCAAACATGCATTAATAAGAAATTCAGAAATATGATTTCATATATAAAATAAATGTCTCATATTTCACAAGTCAAATCTCAATAGAAAAATTTCCTCACAAGCCGCATCCCCCCACCAATTTCGAATGACAGCATCTGAAAAATGATTCCAAGTTCTTGAAAAAAGAAAATAAAAGTTATTTCCAGAGCAGGATTATTCCTTGATGATCACGAGGGAAAGCTATTTTAGAAGATGAAGAGGAAGAAGAAGATGGCGATCAAGGGCGATGTCAACATCTGCACCAGAATTATGGTTGGCGGCCGAACAACACACCTTCAGATGCTCGAAGGTGCTTCTACGATATCTGCATCTGAGGCAATGGGATGGCTACTGGTAGAAGAAGCAGAAGAAGCTCTGCTCCAGATAGATCTCGTTCTGGTAAGAAACAGATCGGCGACTGAAGCGATCATAATGCCCCAAACAATAGCACTCGAACTACTGAGAAAGATCTCCACGGAAACCTCACGCAGCAGGATCTTATCAATAACATTATCTCCCGCGATGCAGAAACACGAAGAATTTCCCTCCTCCTGATAGATCTCGTAGTTATGCAGAAACTGGAACAAGATTTCATCGAAATTCCCGAAAACGTGCCCAGAAAAATGGGAATGGATTCCTGTCCCGGATCAACCTCGCGGTTCTCGAGTCTCCCTCCTCCTCCTCCTCCTCCTCCTCCTCCCACAGATTGATCTCGTCATCTAAATAAATAAAAAAACCACAAATATGTGCAAGAGAGGCTGCGACCTTACCTGGGGAGGAGCTGCAGCGGGAGAGATCAGGGCCCTGGTGAAAATGATCCACCCCAGAATAGAGAGAGAGGGAGGGAGAGAGAGAGAGAGAGGGCGGGACCTCCTCACGGAGAACCGAAGGAGGCCAGATTCGCGACAGCGTTCCCTGATGTCGTCATGATGGGCGAGGAGAACTACATACCTCGCCCTTCTCACTTCTCACTCCACCAGAGGGAACCCCAGCTAGAAAGAGAGAGAGAGAGAGAGAGAGAGAGAAGTGGACGGTAGAGACAGAAACCGCCTACTGGCCTGCGCCATCCTCGACGGGTGTTGCCATCTTCCTGTTTCGACTCGTGCGCCACTGACCTCACTGAACTTGTTATTCTGTGCCCTCTGGGCCTCTTTGTTATCTAGCTCCTCCCAGTCAGAGAGTACACCGAAGCCCCGGCTGAGAAGGTGTCGTTTTGCAATCCACGGGATACGGGATAAGCAAAATTACGCTTTCTGGGACCCACTGACGTGGCGGCGTGAATTACAAATTAAACATCGTGCTGGTTAATTAAAAATTCATAATAGGAAAAGACGAAAAATCACCGCGTCGGCTCACACGCGAGTAACGTTACCTCCCTAGCACTCCACTCCACATGACATACCGATTAATGCTCTCGTTCTTTAGCGGTAATTATGTCACAGAAAAATAATTAATGGGATGATTATGAAACTTTCCGTCATTATTTCACCTTACAATATTAGAAATATATATATATTTAACTTTTTCACTTCAACGGAGCTGAATAAAGAAATATTGTTTGGATCATCATATGACTAAAAGCAGATCGAGAAAGGGCCGGCCCGGGCCCGTACTTACTCTTGGCCCAGGTCAACTCTGCAATCTAACATTCAACCAAGCAAAGAGTCAGAAGATAATACAAGGAAACAACTGTGTTGACCTTTTACATCACTGGGGCAGATCGGGCCCGGGCCCAGCCTTGACATATTAAGGTATGGGCCCAGGCCCGGAGTCTGGTTTTCAATCCAGCATTGAATCAAATATACACACCTCAAAGGCACCAGCCTCTTGAAGCAATCCCAAGAATCTGTTCCATTGAACCCACACAAACACAAAAAAAAAAAAAAAAAAAAGGACTCAGATTTTTATGAGAGACCACCTTCTCCTGTCAGATTAAATATAATTCATCACATAGCCAAGTCTAATGTTTCACCATAGCCAACCATGAGCATGATCATCTTCATGAACAGTATAAATCTGGTGACTTGATCTCAGATTATGTACAAATATGCAGGGAATCTGACGATGGATGAGACTCAGCAGTTGCCGCTGGCAGGCTCGATTGAGCTCAGGAGGCCGTTTCCCCTCAGCTGCATGCAGTGCTCCTCGGCATCGGCTTGGGCGCAGACGATGACCACTGCCAGCCCATTGTAGTGGGCCTCCTGCATGATGTTGACTGCGTTGTCAAGGGTCATCCCTGGGATCACCTTCATCAGCACCTGGACGACATACTCTCTCTTGTTGAAGTTGTCATTGTGAAGAAGAACACGGTACGGCGGCGATATCTTCCTCGACTTCCTGCACATCTCCCACAGACCATTTGGATGTAAGAACAATGCCTGCCCACCCATATGAGAAGATGAACTGGGTAGGGACAGCTGGGGTTGCTGATGGATCTCATGAACCCATCCGCCCAATTTCTACCAGGTTTGTGGCTCCAGATGAAGCCCGGAGAGGAAATTAGGGCAGGAGCATGTTGTCTCCTGTGCCCATGTGAAATGGGTGAGGCCCATGATGTTAGCATAGGCTGCAGCCTAATCTGGCTAGTTTTCTTCCAGACCAGAGGGCTACAAATCCTGCCCAGAAGGGAAATTCAGAAAAAAAATCTACCTTCTCTTCCTTGTCAACGGAGCAATTGTTCATCTAATGATCCTCCTAGAATGCTCGGATATATTCAGGGATGTAGCAGAAACCCAACCCTCTGATGCTCTTTCCAAATCAGTTTCAGAGGAACAAAATCACGCATGGATAATGAAGCTGATATGTGGACTGATGAACTGGGTATACCTCAAGTCAAACTCGGATTCACGACCAGGGGTGGTCTTCTCTATAGTGGGTCTCTCCAACAGTCCACCTCCTTTTCCGGGTCCACTAGCCGCTATGGGAGTAAGAACTCCTCGATGCAGGAACTGCCCTTTGAACGGAAGCTGCTTGTCGCCTGCAATTCCAGTTTAAATTCACAGTGGAAAGGATGATTAATATATCAGCTCAAGAATGTACTACCGCAGACTCTTGGATGAGAGCATTAATGATCCCATTCTAGAAAGATCAGAAGAGAATCTCGTAAATAAATACCTCTTTGAGGGGTTGGGGGAAAGATGATACTTCTTCGAAAAAAAGAAAAGAAAAAAAGGGAGAATATTTTAATTCAAAAAGGCATCGTTAGGGAGGATATTTTAATTCTCTTTAGAATTGATCGATTATCGACAGACTTTCTTTGTGATGAGGAGCCAAGTACTTAGCTGGAGCATCTGCTGACTCCACATGCCATCTCCTGGGAGGTATAACCAAGAGCATGGGCTAACTTCCCTTCTGGGTAGCTTCAGCTTTTATAAGCTTCTTGAACGAGGATATAAATATAGCATAGATTGAAGTAAATTAGTTCCAGCAGCCAACACATATTATGCAGTTTGATTCCAAAATATTGAATCTTTGAGGGGGAAACATTAATCTGGCACAAAATGAGATGAAAGTTGTCGACTTCACAAGCATGAACCCAGTACAATTGGATGGATGTGATGAACTTTCTAATGAAGTCCACGAAACTAATTTTCAGATAAATAAATTCATACTAATATTTGGAATTATTCTCGTCTGAGTCCAATTTTATGCAGGAAGGAAAAAAACAATCTATGAGATGTTTGACAACTTCATTAACATAACTTGAACCCCCAAAGATCATACTCTCCCCATAAACACGTCACCCATTTAATCCTTAAAGTTTGCAGTAGAAAAAGGCGAAAGAAATCACCGGGACTGCCAATTTATCAGTGGAAAATGCTAACACGGATGCAACCCCGACATCACTTAAGTTTCTCACATTGAGGCAATACTGTCTTCATGGTTTTTTTACTGGAAATGCTAACATTTGGCGTGATCTCGTTAATCATTTTAGTAATTCTCCCAGAAAAAAGGGAGATAAAATGCCTTCAAAATCTCAATGCAGAAGCCAATATTTAAGTAGGTAATTTTTAAAAAATACCACAATAGAGAAATGAGACTTACCCATCTGAATCTACAAACATTCACAGGAGCTTACCCTGGCATGTGACTAAAGCCATCTGATCATCGATAGGCTCTACATGAAAGTTGACCCTTTGAAAGAGAAGTGATAGAAGTGATAGTTTTGAACTTTCTCGAGCATCTCAAACACCTTCTTTTCTTCTTCTGTTTCTTGCTCTGGATTTCCCAAAACCATAAATGCAGTATAAAGATCTTGCCTAGATCAGAAGTGGGACCTCACCACGGATCTTCTTTCACTAAGAACACCAATCACGGTAAAGTTCTGGTCCAATTCGGGATCAGATACGCGGACTCAATCAAACCCAGGAAAGCACGAATATGAGGGAGAAATGAGTTCAGTTTAAAAATAAAATGATAATGTTCAATTTAACATGGTTCTAAAATGTTATCACTAACAGATGTAACACAACAACATGGGGACCCAGGCGGTTTATAAATCCCTTGAAGCACTGAACCACATTTCAGTGTTACATCGTCCAAACACATACGTGCATATAGCATATAAATGTAAATGCTAGATCTTTCAGCTCTTGTATTATCCAAACAATTACTTTGGTGGTGAATTGAGGTACAAACGAATACTCTACGATATAAATTTCACAATAAATGAATTAGTAAGCTACGATTTTTTCTAATCAAAAAATAGAATCAGACAAAATACTTGATTAAAATCAGGCAACCCCTTGATTTTGTCCCTGTTTCCTACGTAGCTCTAAATGGCTGTTGACTGGGTACCCCCGTCAAGATCCCAATAGAGCTGGTTGGTTGGTGAAAATAAATTTATGATAAATAATAAAAAATAGTAATCTAAAGATTAAGTGCATTAATCAGCCCATTAATGACAGACTTCCTCTTCCACCTCGAGTCATCTTAGATCCGTGATGGATCCTAAGCTATCTGAACTATCTCATTTCATCTTCCAAAGATGCTTCTCCACAGCTTGTATTGATACTCTCAATGATGATTCTCTCACAGATTATTTTCCTCTACACAATATAACATTTTTATCGCTATTCTAACCATCTAATTTTTGTGGGCCCCCGTATCCAAACATTCAATGCCAGCACCAAATCGAAGCCCCTCGTGGATGTCTAGTATGTTTATAAAAGGCCAATGCGGAAGCTCCAAACTATTCTACAAGCTCTCATCTTGCTAGTTCATAATTGATTTCATCTAGGCACTTGAATAATGAAGAAAAAATTCCAAACCCAGATCCCACTTCAATCAGAAAGATTCGGAACAGCTTTTAAAAAAAAAAAGAGGATGGAGATAGCAATTACTGTCATCAAGAGACTTTTGTGTTCCACATGAGATGCCAAGAAGATCTTATTATGTCATAGTTGAACATAAGGGAAAAGCAGGGACCCCACCGTCATCAACCAAAATTCTTGAGCCCCACTTGACCAAAGAAAACTTCACCGCATTCATGCTATGAACTTTTAATATATAAAATATACACGTATATCTCTCAATGCTAAGAACTCTTTGTCGACAAGCAAAAGTATATCACAATGCTGCCTGCTATAGAATTATCGCACTGAACCACTCAGAATTTTCCTTAGTTCATGAAAGTATTTCCTCCAATTACGGCATTTCATATGAATAAATAAAAATGTAAAAAATTTATGCAGAATTTCAGCCACGGTGATTCATACACGAAAGGGGAGATCCCGGCATTTAGGTTATAGCATCGGTAGATCAAAATCTACGGAATATTCCTTGGAATGACGTCTCCGGAGAAAGAATCCGACAAAGAGACTGAAAATTTATAAGTTACGGGCATGATTCAATATGGCCAGGAAAAGGCTAACAGAAAATGAAAGCCAATACGAACAGGAATCATCGGAATGATCAAAAAAGCAGCTACAGCGATAAACACCAGAAAAACCAGTTTCCCCCAACCGAGGTTACCCCAGAAGTCATAGAGAGCTATCCTCGGTATCTAAAATAAAATAAAATAAAAACCGGAGGAATTCTAAACCAGAGAGAGCCCCTGGACTGACTTAACGAGAGCAAACCTGGTTTAGGAGCTAGTACGTGCTTGGGCGAGAGTGCAATCCTCCCACATATGGCCGTCTCCATTCGTTCCAGCCCCACCCGCCTCTCTCTCCGCTTCTTCCGCTCTTCCTTCCCCCTCTCTCTCTTTCTCTCTCTCGTCTCTGTGCTCTCAGACGTCCACGAGGCATCCAGTCAAGAGAACCAGTAGAAATGGCCTCACAGTACCCACAAGTTTTTTTCAGTCAGATTTTTCTCTCCCCTCCACTCTCTCCTCTTTCGCGTACGAATCAAAATCCACAGCACCCATGCGCCACCAATAGGAATCAGCAGGAGTTGGGACCCACATCCAGGACCAATGATGGGCTATTAATACGCGATATTTTCTCAATAATATCGATTAATTTATTAATTTTGAGATCCACGCGTGAAAATATATAAGAGGGTATAAATTATTTTTTTAAAAAAAATAGATATACTTATTATACGTAATATAGCCCGTTGAAAAGAAGGGGAGTAGGTGGTGGGTCAACGGGTTGGGCCGGGCCTGAACCCTTCTGAGCCCGAAGGGGCATGACCCGGCCCAGGCCCGAATATACCAATGATGGGCTCATTATTACGCGATAATATCGATGAATTTATTAATCTTGAGAGCCACTTGTGAAAAGACATAAGACGGTAGAAATCTATTTTTAAAAAAATAGATATACTTATTACACGTAATATATAGTCCGTAGGTAAGAAAGGAGTCGGTGGGTCAACATGTTGGGTCGGGCCTGAACCTTTACAAGCTCGCAGTGCATCGGCCCGACCCAGGCCCGAATAACTAGGACAGTCATGAGACGGGCCCTGATTTATAAAGGAAGAGAATCTCCCCTTCCCTTCTCGGACTATTAGGATGAGTAGGAGCAAGGTGATCCAGAGAGGAAGGTATGGATGGATTCCTGTGATTTCACTGCAAAAATATTAGTAGGAGCTCCTGCTTCCGAGGTTCATTCATCATCGCCGGATGTTCTGCATGAACAGACATCAAGCTTTGAATGGGAATGAATCAAAATCTGATGTTTTTGTTGCTTTTTTTTTTTTTTTTTTTCTGGACAGGGAGTGAAGAAGTAAGCATCATTGATGACCAGAGATATCCAGAGAGGGCGAGCAAGGTGATCCAGAGAGGAAGGTATGGATGGATTCCAATGATTTCACCGCAGAAATATTAGCACCAGCCCATGATTCTGAGGTTCATCAATAATCGCCGGATGATGAATTCAATTCTGATGTTTTTCTTGGGCAGGGAGTGAAGAAGTAAGCATCATTGATGGGCTGCAAGATCTGATCTGAAAAAAAATCCTTCTGCGTTGAAATTTTTTTATTGAGAGGAACGGAAGGATGCTCCAGACATTCAAAGAAACGCTCATCTCGGATAATTGAGAAAGAAAGAAGGCGAGCATGGGAGGAAGGGAGGCAATGAATGCTACTGCAAGCTCCCGGAGCCGCTTTGCTGCCACAGATTGATGATGTCGGTGGCCTGGTTGAGCAGGATGATCATGCGTTTCTGGGAGATCCAGGGCTTACCCTCAAGCAGTGTCTTGAGCTCCTCCCACGCGTCCTTCCGAGGCCAGAAATAGTAGGGGCTCAGCGGAATGGTGCCATGGCCCGGCACCACCTGGTCCAAGGCTAGCCCGATGTTCTTCTCCATCCAGATGAACTTGAGCACGATCCTCGGCTTCCCCTCGGCCACCTTCACCGCCACACCCAATCTCTGCATCATCAGACAGAAGGGAGATTCCAGAAAACCTAATCAGACATCCGATCCACGGCAAAAACCACAGCAACGAAATCCAAAACCCTACCTCCTTCTGTTCGTCCGGATTCTCCGGCAGCGCCTCCGCCCTCTCAGCACCGGCGGCTATCCGGCAGATCTGCCCCTCCCCGTGGCGAGGGGCAATTGACAGATTGGAAAGCGGCGAGAAGGAGCGGGATGCAGCGACAGCAGATGACGCGTAGCCACAGGCGTGGAGGTGGTTCCGGTGCCGATGAAGAGGAGAGAGGTCAGTTCGGACTGGAACGGCGGCGGCGGGGCCTGCTCCGGCGAGCGATGAGCACATCATCTTGCAGAGCACAGTCAGAGAGAGAGAGAGAGAGGAGAGAAGGAACGGCTTCTCCCGCCTCTTTCTTCTCTCTGCTTCGGATAAGGAAGAAAGAGCGGGGGAGAGCGGAGGGTGAACACTCTCGACTTAATAACTCTTAAATATTTGATTAATATTAATTAATACAGGACGTTTTGATTATTACCTTTTTTGAGATTATATTTTTTTTAAAAAAAAATTAAAATGTAATTTCTCTCTCTCTCTCTCTCTCTCTCTCTCTCCGTTCCTCGGATCAAGTCCGGCCCATTAAAAGCCCGAGAAGGCCCTCTACGGGCCTCTTAAAGCCCGGGCCCGGAACTCGACACATTTTTTATATTTATTAGATAAAAAATTCGGAGGTGAAAATTTGGCACACTAAATATATTAAGATTTATAAATGGAGGCATCAACGGGCCGAGTGAGGCTCATCCCGGGTCCGCAGAAAAAGCCCGAAAAAGAAGAGTAAGAGAGAGATGGACCGATGATGGGATAGCCACCAGGCAATATCGAACATTCTAAACCTGGCTTAAATAGGAATTTCATCGGTGGGGGCAGGTTTTCGGGCCAACCCCTTTTGTATATCGGGCCAGTGAAAAAGCCCGAAAAGATTGTCCACGGGCCTGGAATTCGACACATTTTTTATATTTATTAGATAAAAAAACGGAGGTGAAAGTTTTTAACACTAAACATATTACCAAAACAATAGATATTAAGATTTCTAAATGGAGGTGTTAACGGGCCCGCAGAAAAAAAGCCCGAAAAGCAGGAGGAAGAGAGAGAGCGGGAAACAGATGGGCCGATCATGGGATAGCCACGTGGCAATATTAACCGGGCTTAGATAGGAACTTCATGGGTCCGGGCCTATTATCGGGCTTAGAGCTTCCGGGGCGGCCCGTCATAGTTAGACCTGGGCTTAAACCCTCTCTCTCTTCCCCGTGACAGCCAGTTTCCCCCTTCCTATCGCCGCCGTCCGCCGCCGCTCTCCTCCGCCGGCGAGCACGGCGCAACCATCAGAGCGGGTTCCCCACTTCCGAAGCCCCCTCCCCTTTCCTGTGCTGCGGACGGCCGGGAGGATCGTCGTGGGCAGGGTGCCCTTTGCAACTCCTTGGTACGTCTCCACTCCCGCCTCGTTCCGCCTTTCTTTTAATCGGAAATGTTCTTGGGGCTGATCGAGATGGCCTGGGATTAATTTGTGGGACGAAGAGGAGAAGTGAAACCGGATTCCTTTTTTTTCTCGTTTTCGTTTAATTTTATTCACCTGTTACGTTTCATGCATTTATCATGTGGATTGTTGGGAGAAGGAATTGGGGGAATTGAGTGTCATGTTTTCTAAAAGGTTCTATGCTAGTCTACTGATCAGTTTGAGTAGAATTTCTGCGCCGTTATAATTCGAGCTCAGTATCATCAAAATATGTAACAATTCATATGGCAATTTATTTGCCGATAAACTGCTGTTTCTCCAACTTTACTAACTTCACCGCTAGTCATCCAATCAGTTATCTGAAATAGATTAGTTTATGATGTTATCTCGGTCTCGTAATCGAACAATGCGCGAGCAAGTCATCCAACCAATTAGAAGGCTAGGATCACGTATTTTCTTCCTTTTGTTCTTTTCAAATTTGTTTGTAATCCAATTAAATATTTTTCTTGATCTTGCATAAATTAACCGAAAATTTAAAATTTAGATAATAACTCGAGATATCTCGCGTGGAAACGTCTGTTGAAAGTTTATTTAGTCGTGATGATCATCTCATCCAATTTTTCAATTTCGTGTGATATTTTTTTAGTGTCCGTTTTTAGCAAAAAACCAGCATAGCAGTTCACCAACGACTTGTGAATAGCAGAGTTGTAAGATTTCATGTCAAAAAACTTCCTTACGAATCTTATTCGTTTTTAAGGCCTTACCTTGGTGACAAAGTAGGTAATAAATAATAGTAAACTGTGTGCTTCACTTATTTATTTTTTCTATTTTTGTTGTGGTAAACAGTGCATCCTAATTCTGAACAGCGCTCATCCAATCTGCGAGCAGAATGGTAGGAGTCAAGAACAGGTACATGGTGTTTGAAGTCTTTGTCGATCCTAACAGAGACAGTCCAAGAGATGAACCCATTGTTCTTAGCCAGTTCAGTGTGGCTAAGGCTATCAAAGACAGTGTCCTCATAAACTTTGGGGAATGTGGTCTTGCTTCCTCCCTAGGATCATTCCAGGGTAAGCTTTAAACGTTGACTTTTTCATCGAGGCCAGGGTCTGCTCTGATGAAAAAGCCATATAATAATTAGTTGGCTCAGATCAAAACATACAACTGTTGCTCTTAGCATGCCAATTGTAATATTTTTCAGTCAAGTATGTGAATCCTGTCACAAAAGTTTGCATCATTCGAGCTTCAAGGGAAGCTCACCAGAGAATCTGGTGTGCAATTACCCTCATCCGGAGCATTGGAAACTGCCCAGTTCTATTCAATTTGCTGGATCTGAGTGGTGAGTCAACTTCTCTTTGCATGTAATCTGTGCAAGTACGAACTGATCCTTGATTGTGTATGTGCATTGTCACTTGAAAATTTTCCTTAATATACACTATCTTTTTGGTCTTTAATGGAAAGAAATTAATACTGTCCTTCATACTTTATGGGCGTCATGTCCTGTATCCTTCTGTCATATTTAATGAAAACTTTGTATCTAAAGAAATATTTAAAAAATAATAATCAGGAAAATGAACTGAATGATTTCATTTGTTTTTGAAACCATGGTATGTGATATGATCAGCTGGTCTCCTGCAATTATTTTGCTTTAGAATCGAGCATTTCAGTTCCCATCTTCTATACTATCGAAATCAATTCAATGACCCGAGTGATTTCATTGTTCTTGAAGCCATCATAAATGATATTCTTATCCAGCCTCCTGCATGATTTTGTTTCAAATTTAATATTTTATTTCCCATAATTAATGCCATCGAAATAAATCATATTAAGTTACCTTAAAACTGATATCAGGCGACATAAATAGAAACATCAATAGAAAAATGAACTAAATGATCCCTTTTCTATTTGAACCCATTGTTATGTGATATTTCTTATCCAATCTCTTGCGACATTGTGCTTCAAAATGTGAAGTATTTTATTGGATATTCCCAATACCGTTGAAGTCAACCATAATGAATTCCACTAAAAACTTATATCAAGGGAAATAATCAGAAGCAACAATCAACACAATGACCTGAATGATCTCTTCTGTTCTTTAACCCGTTGGATCTGATATTGTTAGCTGTTCTCCCGCAATTAAGTATTTCATTTCCATTCCTAATGTCGTCAAAGTCAATGATAATGAATGAATCACATAGAACTCTTGTATCAAGGGAAATAACCAGAAACAGCAATCAGGAAAATGACTTAAATGATCTTTTTTTTTTCTTAAACAACATTATGTTTTCAAAATTGACCATTTATTTTCCATTCTCAGTAACATCGAAATCAATGATAATTAAAGCCTTACCTTTTGTTTATCCATGCGGCAGGATGCATCAGAGCAAGCAAATCTGCAGCTTTGAAATGCGACGAGGCCAAGTTCGAACACTACAAGATCATCGCCGGTGACCGTCTCTCATCCGAGACTGTCCGACTAGCCAAGAACTGCTTTGAGAAGATCAAGATCTTGGAGCATTAGACGCCACCTCCCTCGGGTTGCAGAGAGGTGCCTCTCTAGCAAGGTGGTGCTCTCTCTAACAGGCCTTTTGGAGAGAGAAAGTTGTGGAGAATGATCTAGGTGATCGCCATCACGGGATTGAATATGAATGGCATATGATGGGCTCGGCTGCTTTCTCCGCATTAATTGTTTGAAGGTGTCAACCCCTTCTGTTTATAGCAAATATGATGTGGCTCATCCCAGATGTGGCTGTTCTAACAACGTTTGATATCTCTTAGCATTCCTTTAATGGGGATGTATTAGATTTGTGCAACAGAAAATATTAAATTACTTAGATAAAAGATGAGTGGAAGCCAATTAAATTCCCATTATTACTATAAATTTCTTAAGTTAGTCACCACCGGATCCGTGGCGCAATGGTAGCGCGTCTGACTCCAGATCAGAAGGTTGCGTGTTCGATTCACGTCGGGTTCAAAACCCCGGACCATCCGGATCTAATTTTTATTATATTATTTCTCACCACGCAGCACGTGATGCATGCCCCCACACCATCTCGTCGACCACCTCTGCATGGGGTCCATCAACTCTGAAACTCTCTCTCTCTCTCTCTAAACCTCTCTTATTCTCACTTTATTGTAAAAAAAACTGAATAACCTAAATGCGCTATCATTGTCGAAATTTCCAGAAAATTGATTATTTAAAACGATTTAAGAGTCAATATGTCTATTGAGACGTATCTATGCACATGTAAACATTAGGTTAAACTTTATCTTTTTCATGCTTTTATAAATAATTAAAAAATATTTATTTTACATAATTGGTTGATATTTGCCTCTATTTCTCAATAATAAATTGATAAATGATGTAGATTTTCTGGTTGAATCCCTATTTTCATTCACAATGTACTGGGCCCCCACTTGCCAAAATCGACAAAAATGAAATCCACCAAGGATTGCAGCTAATATGGCTAAGTCGGCGCCCATGATATATACATATATATATATATATCTATATATTATCTCTATATATTTTGTGTTATTTAGTGACATATTTACCAAACTAATGCACATCGATATTTTTAGGATTTTTTAAAATATTTAAATTACAATATATATTTCCGAATGAAAATGAACTAATTATTCATATACATAGAGAAGCCAAAGTAGCAATTAGTGCTGAAAAATTCCTTAAAAAATCCCTAGGAAAAGAACCCATTGACGAATTATGTTTCTTGTCTAAATATAATAAATAAATTATAGTTTTTTTTTCATGATAAATGGTTTATCAAAAAATTAGGACCTTTATTTAATATTTGTTGTCAAAAAGGCTTTTCTCGATCGACCCATTTCTTCCTGGCTCGTGGAAGCAAATGGGCTGTAGAGATCTCGGAGTTGGGAGGTGGTGGGGGATAAAACCCTGATTCTGCAGCCGCCTCTGCCACTGAAAAACCCCGCCCCCTTCAGAGGAGAATCTCTCTAGGGTTTCTTCGAGTGGTGCAGCGCTCGTGTGGGGTGGGGGCAGAGAGGGAGGGGAAGATGTCGCTCCGCGTTCTGAATCCGCAGGCGGAGGTGCTGAACAAATCGGCGGCGCTCCACATGAACATCAACGCCGCCAAGGGGCTGCAGGATGTGCTCAAGAGCAACCTTGGCCCCAAGGGCACCATTAAGATGCTCGTGGGGGGGGCTGGGGACATCAAGCTCACCAAGGATGGCAATACTCTCCTCAAGGAGATGGTGACTCCTGCTCCCATTCTCTTGCATTTTCCATTTCTGAAGTTGCGAGTTGAAATTAGAGTCATGGATCAGTGCCGATCTCCCTCTCTAATGGTGCATCCCGTTTCCTCAGCAAATCCAAAACCCTACTGCAATCATGATCGCGCGGACGGCCGTTGCCCAAGATGATACCAGCGGGGATGGCACAACATCCACCGTGCTTTTCATTGGGGAACTCATGAAGCAGTCAGAACGCTACATCGACGAAGGTCTGTGACTGGGATCCTACCCATTCTCTCCATTTCTCGTATTCAGCATCACGGAATGAGCCGTGTGCTTTGTGTGCCGCCGTATGAAATATTATAAAACCTTGGAGGTGGTGTGTTTCTAATTTTCACTGTCGATAGTCCCTTGGAGTGTCTTAGAGCTCTCACTTTCGATTTCGTTGGAGTTCTGACCTTTTATTTAAAACCCAAAAAATGTTATTGCTTAGACATTATTGATTAGGTGATGGTGGGCATATTGTAAATGTTGAGAAGAACGACTTCTCATCGACATATAACTAGATTACCTAACATTTCATCTCTGAATCACGTTGTCCTGATTTCTTGAGCCTAAACTTCTGGTTTTCACTGGGAAGGTGAAAATCAGACAATATTGAGGGTGGCCAGTTTAGATTGCCTTGATATACTGCCCATAAATGGGAAGGCAGAGGAGATATACCAGTGCCCTTCACCTGGAGATAAATATGGTTTAAGAACTATTATTGTGTCAGATAGAGGATATATTAAATATAACCCTTTATAAACCTAGTCAACCTGAAAATGTTTACTTTTCTTTACAGAAAAAAAAAAACTTTAGAATGATGTTTCTTTTTGTGACGTAATAGTAACTTACTGTAGAAGTTTTCTTATTCTTGGATTCTTTTCCGTGATATCTCCTAAATTTTAGATCATAAATTGACGCTATTTATTTCTTCATATTGTATATTGATGTAAACTATGTAGGAATGCATCCACGTGTATTGGTTGATGGTTTTGAAATTGCCAAAAGAGCAACCCTTGAGTTTCTTGAGAAGTTCAAGACTCCTGTTGTAATGGGTGATGTGCCTGATAAGGAGACATTGAAAATGGTTGCAAGAACTACCCTCAGGACAAAGGTACTACTTGTTATTCTCTTCTTCTATCCGTAGTCTCTTCAATTTTTGGAATAATAGAGTCACATTTTTTTCGCTCCATTATATCTTTTTTATTTTTTTATTTTTTTTATCTTTCTTCTTCACAGTTACGTGAAACGTTGGCAGATCAGTTGACTGATATAGTTGTCAATGGAGTAAGTTACTTTGGACCTTGCATTGTGTTTTATTCTTTCACATTGAATAGAAAAAAAATGGTTGTTTACCAGTTGCTGGCTACTACATTTGATTACCTTATGCACTTGCTGACTAAGTATCTGATGTTTATTTTTATGTGCTTTTTATGTTGGCTATAGCTTTTTTTTCCCTAAATTGCACAAGTGGGAGATACATGATCATTTTTTATTGCACCCAAGATCGTGAGTTATCGGATATTATTTTTTTATGGTTTCAAGTAACCCTTGTTTCTCCAGGTCCTGAAAAAAATTATACCATGAAAGTTGATCTTTTTTATTATTTCTCAAAAAAGTTTGATCTTCTAGAGGAAGCAAGTTAATGTGTGCTTGCTTCCACTTTCAAAGATAAAAGAATTTAGAAACTATGTGTGATTCATTAGAACTTGCGTTCCCCTTTTTGAAGATGTCAACATGGTTGCATGGGACTTAGTTATTTGTTTGCAGATCTATTTGGACTTATATCCCCCCCTATGAAGTTATCAAAATGGTTCTTTGTGCTTAGGTTTTCTGGCTTCTCAGATATTCAAGTTATAGTCAGGGCATCATTGTAATTTTTTTGTGTTTTTTTTGCGTCTTGATTTGCTGATGCCTGGAAGCACCGTTCATCTTGATTATGATTTGTGTATTTTTTTTATATTTCGTTTTCAAAGAATTTGTTCACATCATAGCTCATATATCTTTACTTTTGTCTGTAAAGTGGTTTTTTCTTATACCGCGATCAATTGGTAGAATAGTGGTTCATCCATACGGTGGTACAAACTTTTATTTTTTCTATGCTTGCGCTTCCTAATATCTCAAATGTTATTGGACGTGGTAGGTCCTCTGTATTTGCAAGCCAGAAGAGCCTATTGATCTTTTCATGGTGGAGATCATGCACATGCGTCATAAATTTGATGTTGACACACGTTTGGTAAGTTTGCAATTTGTCATTCTTTTGCGAACTTAAGAATGCTGAGCCTTTTTTGTACCCTATTGTTGGTTTTCTATAAATGTTGCGTTTTTTAGACAACAGTTACCTTGGTACATAATTTATAACAGTAGGAAATATGGTTTCTTCCTTTAGGTGGAGGGACTTGTCCTTGATCATGGATCTAGGCACCCTGATATGAAAAGAAGAGCGGAGAACTGCCATATCTTGACATGCAATGTATCCTTGGAGTATGAGAAGAGGTATTCCAATCTTTCCTTTTTGTTTGATTTAAGTTTGTTCTCTCGTGCCTTAATAATTGCCGAAAGCTAGTTACCTGGGGTTCAGTGAAAATGTCAGCTCCTTCCACGTGGTTTGGCTAACATTTTCTCTGTCAGTGAAATAAATGCAGGATTCTTCTACTCGAACGCGGAGCAAAGGGAAAAGATGGTTGCTGCAGAGCGGCGTCAAGTTGATGAACGAGTTAGAAAAATTATTGAATTGAAGGATAAGGTAAATACCCATGAAGACCTCATCTTTTTTTTGAATATGAATGTTCGTGCAGATTTCAAAATATGATGTTTAAATGTGAATGTGTCAGGTTTGTGGGGGCACTGACAACAACTTTGTCGTGATTAATCAAAAAGGGATTGATCCTCCATCACTGGACCTTCTTGCTAGGGCTGGGGTCAGTTTTTGTCCCATGATTCTGATTTATGTTTTGTTCCTCTTGTATATTCAGGCATGCATGACTACTGTTTTTTTGAGTGTTTTGGTTTCTTCGATAAATTGAATTTCTATCAGTCTATGAGTCTCAGAAGATTAGTAAACAGGGGTTTATTGAAATTTTCAAATTGAGTGACGATTCCTTGAAAATGTGTCATAAAAGATTCCTGCATCTTTGTGAAAGCCTTGGGTGAGTTTGATTAGCTTACAGTGTCCCATCCGAATTTCTTTCCTTTGCAGTGCATTAATTTAATAAACTCATCTATATCAGTTAGTGAGAAGCTACGCCAATCATAGATGCAGGTAGTTTTGGTATTTTATGGTCAGAAAAACATGGTCCTTGTAGGTTTGTATTTTCCAATGATCGTTGAGTACTGGAGGGGAGCGTGAAAATGATACAAAATATTGTATGCTCTTTTCAAGATGGTAGTATCAGAAAATCACTAAATAACAGGACCTTTGCACCAGTATGTGAACTGTGAACTCTCGTCGTTGATATCCAGCACCAACGTGGAGTTGAACAAAATCAAAAGAAAAACCAAGCCCATTTTCCAGTTCACCTTAGTCTCACATACTCTTTTTATGCCTTGTGTCTCAAACTCTTTTTATGTCAGGAATTAATTTAGTACTCCCTCTGTTAAAAATGCATACATTTCTCTATGTCCGCATAGACTTGATGGTTCATGTAGAATAAGCTACCAAAATATTGCTGTCCACTGTTTTTGGTGATGTTTCTACTTTAGTCAAAGCTTATCAGTGGGACTTGGGTATTGTCACTCCACGCCCAGGTTAAAGTATGCTTGCTAAAAAATTATCCGAGAGAAGTATGACTCGGGGAACAAGTTTTCCGAAGCTTTTCTTCATCCACATAGACTGCTCGTATGAAATAGAGTTGGAAGTTTCGCGCATGAATTTCTCCGAAGAAATAAATTTACTCTCAGAGAAGAAGGGGGTTTTTAGATGTAAAATTTGGTTTCTTGTGTCTTTATGTGTGATAACATGATTGACTTGATGATCTCTATTGCCATGTATCTGGCTCTGGGATTACAATGCTCCAAAAGTTATCGTCAGCTCTAAAAATCCTCCCTATGCGGAAAGAACTATCAATATGTTGGAGGGTGAAACCCATTGGCACAGAGCCCTCAGAAATCCAGGAATCACTTATTCACTATGCAATGTTGTTGGTTTTTCTTTTGCCCTTGGAAGAATATAGAGGAAAACTCTATCAACTGAGCATTACACTTCAAAGGATACGATTTTTCCTCTTGTTCTAGAAAACTTTTTGGTTAGCCCGGCAAAGAAGAGAAAAAATTCAAACAAAATGGGATAGTGGCCTGCTTTTGTAGTGGAATTTATTATTTCTAGTCTCTGTCATTTACTAGATTTTGGAATTTTCCTTGACAAAAGAAAGTTTTCAAGGCCCCAGAAAGAAAAGATGGAACAAAGTTACGTTTTTGGGCTGGTTCCTTTTTTATTTTCATTTCATATCCACTTTGCTCATGTTTTTTTTATAGTGATCTTTTGCCATAGTTAAATGGAAACAGTGAGTAAAAAGCACACTGTACCTAAAAGAAGACAAAAAGTACAGGGAACGAAAACAGTAACCTAAATTATACAGTGATGGAAAAATAAATAATGTCCTCCTTTACAGTAGAGTAAAAGAAGTGAAATAAGCCTTTATCTTCATTGATCCTGACCAGTTTTATGCGATGTGGGTGCGTTGATCTTACCTTGTATTTTTCAAAAGTTTGTCGCAGTTTCATTTTATTTCTTTCCCTCTAGATGACTGATGCTATAGCGAGGTAGAGTATCCTCCTGCAATGGAATTCAGCGGGTTACAAGGCATAAAATGTCAATTTTGCGGCAATTTACTCATATCTTAAATTTTCTCTACTTTGCCATAAATTATGTTGTGACTAATTTATGGCTCCACAAGTCACAACGAGATGGCCAATGCTCTTGTTTCTTTGAACAACAAACAACACTTTTTTTATATTAGGCTTAGTATTTAATTTTCAGTTCTATCAGTTCACTCGTTGGCTGCTGCCTATTGTTCACGTTCCAAAGTTAGTTTAGTTTTTTTAGGGAAGCTTATTCTCCCAAACGGTCCTCCTTAACGAGACTACATCCTCCACCAAGATTTTTTATGCATTCATTCTCCATTTTCTACTGCCCTCTTGACCTCACTTGTCTGTGGGTTGAAGAAATGGAAAAAAGACCAACATATTCAGCGAGTTCACCCTCTAATAAGTTCCTTTTAAGTTTGAGATCGCAATTATCGTTGGTCTGTTTGTAGGTAGATGTTTTGTTGTCTTCAGATACGTCAGAATTGCATAAACAAAAGCAGGAACATTTTCATGTAGCCACGTGCCCTCCAGGCCTCGGTAGTATCCATCTGGAAATCAACTAATATTTCGGAGCTTTTTCGTTAGATGAAAATTCTCCTTTTATGGTTTTTGATTGTTGGCGTCTCAGCACAGTTGAAAAAGTACTCACTATGATTTAATTTTCCGTTGACTCATTACATATTATTAGAGTCAAAGCTCAGACAGGACCGAAACTAATACTGCATTTTAGATGGGAGTTCCTGTTGTATCATAGCATATATGGAAATATTAATATTAGGTTCTTGCCGACGATTGTCAGAACGTCTGGCATTGATTTTTATTTTTTTAATTATTGTCACGTGACTTGAACGAGGATGCTAGAAAGAAGCATTAAGCCTTGGTAAACATGAAAGTAGCCCTGTGCAGGGTTCATTTCAGCACCTATTCTGACTTTGTTGGAGTGCAAAATATTTGGCTACAAAGATAAAAGTAGAAAAACGGAAGCTAAGGACAAACTGGATTGTTTACGTTTCTGAGAAATCCTACCTGGGAAGTGAAGTTCATTTACCATTTAATGTTTCTTCCAAAGTCAACCCTTTAATTTTTATGTTCCTTTTTTGTAGATCGTTGCTTTGCGCAGAGCAAAAAGGAGGAATATGGAGCGGCTGGTGTTGGCTTGTGGGGGAGATGCTGTTAATTCTGTGGACGACTTGACCTCAGACTGTCTTGGTTGGGCTGGGCTTGTTTATGAGCATGTTCTTGGGGAAGAAAAATATACATTTGTTGAGAATGTGAAGAACCCTCATTCTTGTACAATTTTGATAAAAGGTCCATTCATTTCCTTGTATTTCTCATGCTTTTGCTTTCTACTGTGATCAGCTGGGCTGCTTTAACTCTTGGAATCATCATGACTGATTTGGGTTAATTACAGGGCCTAATGATCACAGCATCGCGCAAATTAAAGATGCTGTTCGAGATGGTCTTAGATCTGTTAAGAACACGATTGAAGATGAGGCAGTTGTGCTGGTGAGGATGTTGGCAGTGTTCTTTTCTTATGTTATCATAATTTCTTTCATTTGTGAACCAGAAAACCTTAATTTCTTATTGTTTTTGTCTGATATGGGTAATATACTAAAGTTTCTCCTGTACCCACATGGTATATATATATATATATATATTAAAAGAAATTAAACTGAATGTATTATTTTTCCTGCAATTGGATGGACACTTGATTAGGTCACTGCTGCTACACTCTCTTATTTAATAATCGTTTTTTAGATCACGATGCATTTATTTTATTTATTTTTATACGGAAACAAGCTTGAACAAGTGCAGATCGATTTCCAAAACCCTTTGAATATGGCTGGTTTCACTAATGTTTTCTTTTTCAAGTCCGCTAGTTGTGGCCATCCTTATTGATAATAGTCTTAAAGCTTATAAAAGATACTACTTATGGCAAAATATTACGTACTACCATTAAGGCTAAACATCGATCAGATGGATAATATTTCTCTGTTGGTGTGCTGCCTACCCAATAAAGAAAATTCTTTTATGTCGTTATAAATATATATATATATATATATATATACTGACGATATATGTGTGATCAATTCTGAGCATGATGGTAAACTGTCTGTAATTTATCTGAATATGCTGAATATGGAATTCCTGATTCTTTGGCTTCGGTTTATTTTTTTCTCTTGGTGAAATCTTCGTCATAGAACTAATGCTGTTCTGATCAAACTCAGGGCGCCGGGGCTTTTGAGGTCGCCGCCAGACAGCATCTGATCAATAATGTGAAGAAAACTGTGAAGGGGGTAAGTGTCCTCTTCTCTCTCTCTCTCTCTCTCTCTCTCTCTCTCTCTCTCTCTCTCTCTCTCTCTCTCTCTCTCTCTCTCTCTCTATCTATAAAGAAAGAGAAGAAGGATCATCCTATGCCCGCTAGCTCTACTGTCGCATCTTGTCATAACGATCAATCTGTCTCTTCTCAACAGCGTGCACAGCTCGGCGTGGAGGCCTTTGCCGACGCCCTCCTGGTCATACCCAAGACACTCTCTGAGAACTCCGGCCTCGACACCCAGGACGTCATCATTGCTCTCACAGTAGGCATCTCTGTCTCTCTCTCTCTATCTCTATCAATCTATCTCTCACTCTCTCTCCCTCTCTATCTCTCTCTCTCTCTCTCTCTCTCTCTCTCTCTCTCTCTCTCTCTCTCTCTCTCTCTCTCTCTCTCTCTCTCTAGCTTGCCCGAATTCCAACTGGGCGGCATCATTGAAACTGGAGGTTTTCAGCTGAGATTCATGGATCATCTCATCTCATCTCATCTCATTCAGGGGGAGCACGATCGAGGGAATGTTGTGGGCCTGAACCATCACACTGGAGAGCCGATGGATCCCCAGATGGAGGGAATCTTCGACAACTACTCCGTCAAGCGGCAGATTATAAACTCTGGGTAAATCTCACCTCCATTGTCCCCCCCAATCGCCGGCAAGTGGTGAGATTTTCCTTGGTGTTGACCCCATTTTGTTGGAACTCTTGCAGGCCCGTCATTGCCTCGCAGCTGCTTCTAGTGGATGAGGTCATCCGGGCCGGCCGGAACATGCGGAAGCCGAACTGAGCTGGGACGCCACGTGGGTTTGTCTCAGGTTTTCCATAGTGAATGGTGGCCGACGTCCTTTTTTTGAGGTGTATTCCCCTTGCTCTCTTCCTTCCCGGATGAGGAGGGGAGTAGAAGACTAGGCGTTGACCCCCCTCGCCTGTTTAGTTCATCAGAGGTGGCTTTTTTTTTATTTTTTAACTTAGAAACTGAGAAAAACCCATGTAAGGCCAGCTATCTTGAACACCTGGAGAAGGATGGGTGTGGTTTGATTTCTTCAAAATCCATTTCTCATGAAAAAAAAATTGACTTTTTAAAAACTAAAATCCATATTTGTAGATTTCTAACTAATAATTCACCCATCAGAATTGGGAAACCCATGTGATCTTGGCTGTCTGGATCATTTGGAGGCGGATTAGTCTCGGTTGACTTCTGCGAAATCCAAATTTCATAAAAAAGAAAGTAATTTGTAGGTTTCTAGTGGAAAATTTAACTCATCAAAGGTGACATTTTTTATTTAGAAATTGAGAAAAACCCATGTGAGTGTGGTTTGATTTCATCAAAATCCATTTTTCATGAAAAAAAATATTGATTAGTTAACTAAAATCCCAATTATTGGTTTCTAATTAATAATTTACCCATTTAGGGGGGCTTACTTTATTTAGAAGTTAGCTCATCATAGATGGCTTATTTTATTTAGAAATTGAGAAAACCCATGTGATGCCAAGTGTCTAAGAACACTTGGAGAAGGATGAGCGTGGTTTGATTTCATCAAAATTCATTTTTCATGAAAAAATTATATTTTTTAAACTAAAATCCAAATAGTTGGTTTCTAATTAATAATTTACCCATTCAGAGGAGGCTTTCTTTATTTAGAAGCTGAGAAAACCCATCTGAGCTCAGCTATGTAGAACACCAAGAGAAGGATGAGTGTGGTTTGATTTCTCCAAACCCTTTTTTTTTATAGAAAGAAATTGAACTTGTCAACTAAAATCCAAAATTTTAGTTTCTAATTAATAATTTACCCCATTTTATTAATTTAATTTAAATCAATTTGGGCAGCTAGTTAATGTGGGTATTATTTTTATTATTTCATATTATTTTGCATTAACTTATGCTTAATTATAAACATCAAGATCAGTTCTTGGGGGCAGAGTTTGGTGGTCATATGTGTATGGTAGATGGCAACGGAGGGAGGCCAAATCTTGGCATTATACAAACTATACATAACGTGACGTCATTAATCACATAAAGAGTTTAATAATTATATTTATTAAGCACAATTCTCTTAAAGTCTCTCCTCAAATATATCGTATTTAAATTTTAGATATTAAAATATATTCGATCATTTAATTAATTTTTCTTACACCTACATATCAGAAAAAGAAAAAATCGATCATTTTATAAATACTATGGGGCCCAGTAAGCCCGGTTCTCGGCCCGGTATGTATACGGGCTGGGCCCGGACTTAAATAATACTTAATATGAATTTCTAGCCTTTATTCTTATCACATCACGGTCTTAAGATCTCACCACTCCTCTCTCTCTCTCTCTATATATATATATATATCTCCGGTCATCTCTCTTTATATATGGGCTGGGCTTTTCTGAGGCCCGATATTACTGCCCGGCCCGGCCCGTTGATTGTCACGTCCACGTCACCATCCGAGATTCTTCCCTTGTCCGAACATTGCCTTATACGGGGAAAACATTGGGTTTCATGTCGGAGGCGGCGCCGCCGTCTTGCCTCTTCAGGTGTCAAACTGCACCTTCTTCTTCTTCTTCTTTTTCTTCTTCTTGCTGGTCGCATTGCCGTCGGTGGCGCTGTTGATGCTGTTGTTACCGTCTCTGTTGTAGCTTTTGGCGTCTTCGGGTTTGATAGTAGCGGCCGCGGCGGCTTCGAGCTGGGCGGCGGCGGAGGGACGGAGGAGTTCGGTGGCCTGGAGAATCTCGACGCGGCGGTTGGTCAACGCACGCATCTTGATGGCGAACGCCTGCGGGTCGAAGGAGCCGCAAACGGTCACCTTGTTCTCCTTCTTCTCTATCCAGTGGCTATCCAGATCTTCTTTCAACCGAAGCAAGAGAGGGATAGAGAGAGAAATGAGAGAGAGAGAGCGAGAGAGAGAGAGAGAGAGAGAGAGAGAGAGAGAGAGAGAGAGAGAGAGAGAGAGAGAGAGAGAGAGAGAGAGAGAGAGAGAGGGAGTGAGAGAGATGAGGAGAGAGTTGTTTGTTCACCGTGGATCTGGAGAAGGGCGCGTCGGATTCTCTTGTAGCAGCCGTCACAGTCGATGTTCATCCGCAGGACCAGGCAGTAAAGCTGCAAGGACGAAGACCTAAGAGAGGGCTGTCAAACAAGCACAGAGAGAGAGAGAGAGAGAGAAGGCTTGCCTTTTCTGACATGAGAACCTGCCTTGGAAGGGTCTTCTGCACGCTGGTTCCTCTCAAGCGATACAGATTAACACACCCTCTCTCACCCCACCTCCTACCCCTCTATATGCATCTCTCTCTCTCTCTCTCTTCCCTCTGTCTCTCTGCCTCTCTCTATCTCTATCTCTATCTATCTAGCTTCCCATGGACCTGCCTAACTAGGACCTTCTGCTCACTGTTAACACTCCACTGTCAAACAGACTAGTTTTCTCTCTCTTCTCTCTCTCTCTCTCGCTCTCTATGGGTATCTGGAGAACGTCCGCTCCAGCGTATCCTTCTCTGGGAGAATCGTATTCCGAGGGGAAAAGAAGAGGAAAGATTCTCCATCGCCATCGTAAATTCCAAAGACTGCTGTTCGGCGGCTGCATCTCTCCTCTTTGACTTTATTCCCCCCTCACTTTCTTTCCCACTTCAATTCCTTCTCCAGATCAGCCCATGGAGGTTCCTCCACGGGGTTGACCTTTGTCCCCAAACCCATATAGAAATGGGCCGGGCCGCGTTTGACTTCACTGGCCCCGTCCATTATAGTCCACGTGGCATCCCCACTCTCTCTCTCTCTACGTAAAAGACGTACGGGATTGCGATCGGTTAGGTAAATTTATATGCTTTATCAATTATGCTTGTACTTTATATTCTCTTTCCAATTCTTCTTCCTCTAGAGAGAGAGAGAAGGAAAATGGGAAAGCTGTGAGACGTCGACGCTATATGCGATGAAAAGGGGAAGAATAATTCCTAATCCTAGAGAGAGAAAGAGAGAGAGAGAGAGGAAGAATGGGAAAGCTGTCAGACATTGACATCATATACCACGAAAAGGAAGGGAGGGAGGGAGGGGGAGAGAGGGAGAGGGAGAGGGGGGGGGGGGGAGAGAGAGAGAGAGAGAGAGAGAGAGAGAGAAGGAGATGTGTGCAATGGCAATATATAGATTGATACCATGAATTATCCTCAATATTTTACAAAATACATGCAATTTCACCGAATACAAAATTGATTTCCCCAAATATTAAAACTAAAATCAACGCAAATAAACTGCTAATATAAACTTTCATGCAGTAACAACACAAACCAGAATCGCCCATCATATTTTTATTACCAGCTGGAACGATGCTACCTCCATCATCCTATTTATTCAATTGAACACATATGGAAATACAAAACATAAATATATAAATAATATGAATGCATATATTATGTTTTTCGAATAATAAAATATCATATTTGTGTGAAACCAACTAGGATCTACACAGATCCAATGAAATGTTCAGCACTCAGAAGCAGGAAATTTATTTGATTCAATGAATATATATATATATATATATATTTATTTATCTGTTTCAAGAAAATCTCAGATTTGTGAGATGGCAACCAGGATCTACACCGATCTAGAACTCTTTATCATCCCTCAAGCTGAGAAGATAAGCAATCAAACCCAGAACAGGAACAAACCTGAGAATCCTCACAGATCCCACGGAGCTCTCCTTCAGATTCTCCAGGTTGTCGCCGATCAGCCATGGCTGGAAGATGGAATAGAGGATAATATCCCATATGAAGGCATAGGCAAGCCTCTCCGAACCAAGGTACCTCCCCAAGAACTCCAACCGGTCTGACAAACCCCCAAAGTCAACGTCTGGCCGGCCAAATATGGCCCACAGTGGGGAGAGCAGGCACACTGCCCCGCCAACTATGGCCACCGCTGTGGCGGCTCTAGTCATCGATGAGACCAGCTTGTACGGTTCCTTGGGAGAGTCAACCTCATTGGCGGCATTGAGTCGGATCGCCATGTAGGGTATTAGAAAAGCTGCAGGTTTGAATCAAGATCATGCCCCTGAAGATTTTGCCGAAATGGGGAATGTGGGCCAGAAATGGGAAAATTTTCCAACTTACTGTTCGTAAGAAACATCTGAAATCCCCACAATATGTCTAGAGAGCCCTTGAATCTGTCCCTCCGGCAGTCGCTGAATAGCAATGGAGCGAACATGAACGTCCACCCGATTACAAAATTGAATAATCCTTCAGCTATCTGGAGAAAATGAAGAGATGAATCAGATTCTAAGTGTTAAGAAGTATCTGCGTATTTTTGCCGGAGTATGTGATTTTTGGGGAAATAAATGAGATATTTGAGTGTTTCAGGATGATCCTTACAGGATGAAGAACTGGTGCTTCGAGAACATGAATGCCGGCTACACTGCCAAGAAATCGGAGACACCAATTAGTCTGCGATAAATGACTGAGCTTCCTCAGCAACTCATAACGATGAGCTGCGTTGACTTCGATGCGGTAAGCAGTTTGCGGGAGGATGATGGGCTTCAAAATGTTATGATGGTCATATTCATAGAGCGTCCTACTGGCCTAAAACGATGGTTTAGATTGGAACGAGGGTTTAAGGGATATTCTCAACCCTCTTGCTGAAGGATTGAATCCCTAGGTAATAACGTATTTCCTCAGTATCTGAATCATGGATTTATTGCAATTATTTATTATAATGTATAATCCAGATGATAATATGCAGAGGATGTATCCTGAAATGAAGGCATTAGGTTGATCACTTGGACGAATCCATCATGGATCGAGATGATCACAGGGATAAGGGCTAGGATGGGGGATCCCAGGGAGCCTAGTGCTCGATTAGGTCAGATCGATCCTGAACTCTCTCTCGATCCTGATTTCCCCTCAATACAGTAAATAAATCAAAGGAAAGTAAATCATCAAAACCTAGGCGTCATTTGAATTAATTACCAGGAGAATACTTCAAGAATGTAGAAAAAGTTCAGTAACGAATAGGTCAAACATACCAGAATTCATGATCGGCAGGATGAAGAAGAAATTCAGAGAGAGGCCAACAAGGTCACTCACTGTCGCCGGTGAGATCGCCCACGCTGGATCCCCCTGAAACATCAGAGCAAAGTAAGTCTAAAAAATTCAGGGAGATCTCTGACCACCTACTTCCGTTCCTCGAGCAGGCTATCTACCGGCGCATAAGGGAGGAGAAAGAGCCACAAAATATACGCCGCCTCCGCAGTCCACAAGCCAGCCTGCTGTAATATAGTAATCTTCAATGTATCCCCCTCCTGTTCCACAATCCCCCTCCCCGGGGCATCATCCTTCCGCTGAGCATTGCAGGGCTTGACAATGATCCTAGTGCCTCCTCCTCTTCCGGGAAATTCCCCCATCATTAGGGCACTGGAGGGACAAAATCTGCCGTCTACGCGATGGATGAAGGAACGCGTGCTGTGGCGGCCACTGGAAAATCGACCTCCATCTCCTCCATGGCACCTTACCGAAGAGCACACGGCCTTCGGAAGGACCAGGCTCTTCACCGCGCTGCTGCCAATGCCGCCACCGGCACAGCAAGAGGAAAGCAATCCCGGCGCCATCCTCTCTCTCTCTCTCTGCACTGCCACCGACGAAGAGAGAGAGAGAGAGAGAGAGAGAGAGAGAGAGAGAGAGAGAGAGAGAGAGAGAGAGAGAGAGAGAGAGAGAGAGAGAGAGGGAGGGAGAGAGGGAGAGGGAGAGAGAGTCGCCACCACCACCACCACCCGCTTCAGCGGGACGACTCCGGCCACTCCTTATCGGGTACGGATACGATATGGACGGGTAGGCGGACATTTATTCAAAAACCACCACGATACCCCCTCGAGGGATGGGGGTAAAGTGGGATTTTGTTATCAAAGCCGGAAGGGGGGGGTAGGGTAGGGGTTCCGCGGCGGATGGTGGAGTCGGTACACTGGAAGTCATAGAGAAGATGGGAGGTGGGGACCACTTTTGTCAACGTGGGCCAATCTAAAATTGACTCAATTCTTGATCCGTCAAACGGACGGCGGAGATTGGATGTGATTTAAGTCAATAGGTTCGCCTTGATCTACTTCGGCCGCCACTTTCCGAGAGTTTCTGCGGTCAGCGCCGGCGAGGGTTCTCTCCCATGGCCACCACCGGCGGCAACTCCATCGTCCTCGCTTGGTCAGTCTATCTCTCTCTCTCTCTCTCTCTCTCTCTCTCTCTCTCTCTCTCTCTCATCTCTACTCTATTCGCTCCTGCTAAGTGCGATAAGTGAGGAGATTGTGCATATTTTTTTCCTCGGCTCGGAAACTTGTGACGACATTTCACCGTATTTTGATGGAGAATCGGCGCTGATTAAGGATGATAATAACCGTGAATCGTAGGGGCTCGGGGGAGGACGGGCAGCTGGGGATGGGGAATTGGGAGGAGAAGGATTGGGTGTACAGCATAAGGTCATTGGAATCGAAGAATGTTGTCGCCGTTGTTGCCGGCAGTAGGAACTCCCTCGCCATATGCGAGAACGGGAATGTATGTTGACATGTATCTCTTTTTTTTTTTCCGTCATAAGATCCTTCCTACTTGATTATGTTCGTTTTGTTTCTCTTCCTCTTTTGATTCTCTTTTTTTTTTTTGATAAACATAGTTATATACCTGGGGATGGAACCAGAGGGGCACGCTCGGACATCCTCCCGATAAGAAGACCGAGAGTGTTCCCAGCCTCGTCAAGGCCCTTTCCAATGTCAAAATCATTCAGGTATGAACTACCGGAGTGTATTCCTTTAGATATCCATTTTTCAGTAATTTTTTTCAATCAAAATGAGTGGACTGGTTGTGGTTCATCTTGTGAGTTTTGATACTCAGGCAGCTATTGGCGGATGGCATTGTCTTGCTGTAGATGATCAAGGGTGCGCTTATGCTTGGGGTATGCCTATTCGGTATTTATATGCCTATAATTTTGTGTTATTGATGACCACTGAAAAAAATGGCGGTCTACTCGTATCTCACATTGTTCTTTGTTATGACTGTTCAGGAGGGAATGAGTATGGACAATGCGGGGAGGAGCCTGAGCGGATGGATGATAACCGCAGGGCCTTTAGAAGAGACATTTCAATCCCTCAGAGATGTGCTCCCAGACTATCCGTTCGTGAGGTGAGGAAAATCGTTACTGATCATACTGACCACCTGAGCAATTGGTTTCTGGAGATAAGACCCTACAATATCCTCACCTTTCTTCCCCAAAAATTTATGGTGTTTTTTCCGGTATACTGCAATTTTTCTTCATCACCGTACTTTCTCAAAAGAAGTTGACTAGTCATATTGTGAATGAAAAAAAATGAGGGTGTGTGTTTCCTCAGAAATGTTAAAACGAGATTGAAGTGGATACTAAATGTTCATTTTTCCCTGTTTTGAAAGCCCAGATAAAGCTCTTTAAATCTGTGATATAGCCTTTACTCCACACCAATCTTGATGAACCATATCGTTTGTGCTGAATATATTTCTTGAGTACAGTCCTCAAGGCTGATGAGTAACTTTCTAAAGAGGAAGCATTGAGACAAAGGGCACTGTGCGACTATGAGAAGTATCCGCTTTAAAGGAATGATATGTAAATACTAAGGGGACACCATCTGTAGCATTGAGTTATCCGTAGGTATATGTGTGCCCCTTTCCTTTCTTCTACAACGTCAAAATTTGATTAAAAGGGTCAGTGCTGTCTTGATCTGTTTTTTCCAGGATTTGATGGGAATGAATCACAAGGTCAGTTTTTTCAACAATTTTTTTTTTTTTGTGTGTATCTTGGGCCATTTCGTAGCTGGCCTTTTATCCTATTTACTTTCAGTACTGTCAGGGGTATATAACCAGCATATTATTTTCAAAAAATAAGTATATAATAGTGCAAGAGTGCTACACCAGCCTTTGTTTTCTGTGAAAATGTATACATGACCTCCCATGTGTACGTCCCGTTTGTTTTCCCCTCTTTGGAATATTTGAAGCTCTCCATGATAGATGCTTATCAATCGTCTATTACTTATCTATTTCAGGTGGCTGCTGGAGGTACCCACTCTGTGGTTCTTACTCATGAAGGACATGTGTGGACCTGGGGTCAACCATGGCCTCCAGGAGATATGTATGCATTGCCTTCAGTTTTCCAAGCCTTTTTCTGTCTTCTTGCTCGCTTTCTTTTCTTTCTATGCTTACATCTAATGTTTTTATTTTAGAAAGCAAATTTCTACTCCTGTACGGGTACAAGGACTTGAAAGGGTGAGGCTGATTGCTGTTGGGGCATTTCATAACTTGGCGCTTACAGAAGATGGAATACTGTGGGCATGGGGAAATAACGAATATGGCCAGCTTGGAACCGGAGACACTCAACCAAGATCACACCCTATTCCTGTTCAAGGGCTATCCGGTCTTACCTTGGTTTGTATTAGAGACTTAAACTTTGGATTTATTGTGATGATCAATAGCAGTTATATTCCTACTGATGTCAAATTATAGATTATAATATTTGAATTTTAGCATGCATAATCAATCATTATGCTCAGTCAGTTTCTGGCAACCTTGGAAAAGTCAGTGAAGCCATATGTGAGTCAGTGCTCCAGTATTGGATGAGCCTAAATTGTTTAATCTATAAAATAGTCATCAATCTTCATGAGGAAATCTGTAAACTTGTGAAATCTTGACATCGGGCAGAGTGGTTGGTTGTATGTCTTTACCAAATCTTGAATGCTTTTATGGACCGAGGCCTTTATCGGTTTTCATTCATCCTGTAAATTCATTTCCTCATATTGCTGGACATTGTAGACGGCTGTTGTCAGTAATTATTTATTTATTGAAACAATGTGAGAGTATACTTGACTTGTTTGGATTTGCTTTTCAGGATTCTGAGCCATCTTCTCATTTCTTGATGTTGTTGCCTTCTCTATGCTTGATTAATTATTTATTTTTGTTAAATATTTAATACAGAATGTGAATCTCTCATCAGTTCCTTGAATTCTTGATTAGACTGCCTTCAATTCTCGTGCCTCATCTCATGCTTAGGGCCCCAATGTTTTTAAATGACGTGATTACTCTCAGGTCTTTATGCCGAGATGTGAGAATCTTCATAATCGTATTTGATGCCAGGCGGCTCCTATGAACCTGAACCGTGACTAGAATGCTTATCTGAGATAAACCCTTTGTGTGGACTGGTCCTAGCATGCTGGTAGATATAAGACAGTTATTTGGAAGACCTTGCTTTTGTTGCATAATAAGAGTCAATTCTAACTATGGTGCAATTTGTCACACTAACATTTCTCTTGAACGGACAACCAATCTAATCATGTTCATACTTCACAGAATCAACTGATTTGAAGCTGATTTGAAGCTGAGTTGAAGAATCTACCCTTTCATATTCAACTTCAGAGCATGATCTCCCCGAACACTAAAACGAGAAAATTGTAGAAAATCTGCTGATATCAGGCTTTGATCGTTATAGCTTGGTTGGAGCCAGTTTCCAAAAAAATCATCATTTCCAGTTGGAGATGAAGGATAGAAAGAGGAGGATAAGGAGAAAGAAAACCCTATTAGGGATCCAAATTTGATTCGGAAATCATTGATTCAGTATACATACCCCTGGTAGACTTGTAAACAAAATCCTATCAGCTGTAGAACATTACTCTATAGTTCCCATCAAGATCAGCCGAGGCCTTGGATGTTCTTGGCCATGAGTAAGGCACCATGGTTTCATCTTTGGCGCATACTCGGGTATTTCAGAATCTAGCATTCATCCCGAGCTGATTTTCAGCTAATCATCTATTCAAAATAAAGGTCAAACCTGTGCCTGATGTTTTTTTTTGCTTGATAAATAGCTTTACCTATTAATATATTTTTACCCATTTTATTCTGGTATTCATTTGGATGAACTCAGTTCGTTTGTTTTGGTTTTACATCCCTCTGCGGTCTGATTTTCTTGTTTTTTCTAGGTTGATATCGCTGCAGGGGGATGGCATTCAACTGCATTAACTGATCAGGGGGAGGTACCCATTATTTTTTCCTGTTATATTTTATTTCGGGCATAATTCATCCCACACCTTTAGATTTTTTCTGCCTATCACATCTTGCTTCATTGAATACCTAAGTATAGAAATAAATACATGCATAAAATGTGGTCATGATGAACAGAATATATCTGTTGAATGCCAACAGGCGTTTTGACAGCATTAATTCACAAATCCTGGTAAATTTTTTGTTTGAGAATCTTGGGATCTATTAATGGGTTTTTGATCTTCATCTGTTCAATTCACTGAGCCACATTTCAGAAATGGGTTGGCTGTGACGATAATCTTTGCTTGATAAACAGACTTCATCTCCTTCTCAACTTACCATTTATGGGTATAATTCAGATGCATATATTCATCAATTTAGATCCTCATCTAATTTTATCTTGGGAACCATTCATGGGGTTGTCAACACGCCTGCAGGTGTATGCGTGGGGAAGGGGCGAGCATGGAAGGCTTGGATTCGGAGATGATAAGAGCAGCAAGATGGTGCCGCAGAAGGTTCAGCTCCTGGATGGAGAGTCCATTGCCCAGGTATTTCCCCTAAATGAAATTTGCCCAGATTGACAGAACCACAACCGTGATCCCATCTTAGACTTCTCTCTCTCTCTCTATCTCTAGATCTCAGATGAATTTCTTCCTGCTGTCCTGGTTATACTGAGGGATCCAATATGTCCAGTATGAGGAACTCGCGGATGAATGAAACACTGTGTCATCAGCTCATCTTATTTTTTTAACTTATTTTAGTAAAGAACTTTGTTGACCCTCGAAGAATGTCTTCCTTCTCTTTGATTAATTTCTTCCTGCTCTCTGGGTTCTTCTGCCTAGGAGTCCATAGTCCCCGTCTCGTCAGTAAAATCAGCTGGGGCAGGTCAACGAAATACTGACCACCGCCCAATCTTCAACCTTATTTTCATTAATTCTGTCAGAATCATCGTTGACCCATGAAGAATACTCTCTCTCTCTCTCTCTCTCTCTCTCTCTCTCTCTCTCTCTCTCTATCCTCAGGTATCCTGTGGCGGCACTCATTCGGTGGCTCGGACCAGCGACGGGCGGATGTTCTCTGTGAGTATTTCCTTGTTCTTTAAAGCTCAAGTCAACCAAGGAATTATAGAGGGCCCAGGTCGCCCATATCCAGATCTGGTAGGATTTCCGATTCCATCTTGCTTCTGTCTACCGCCCAAAGTCAACCAATCCAACTTGAACCGGGTGAGGATTAGGGTCAGATTTTTAGACATCCTTTCGGCAAGAGACCGGGTTGACTTATTCAAGAACGGCCGATCTCGATTGAGGTTCTGGATGCTCGGACTTTGTCGAATCCATCCGGGGTTAGAATTTCCATTCATGTCATTGTCAGCTAATCCTTTTCTTCTGCAGTTTGGCCGCGGCGACCATGGCCGGCTCGGCTACGGGAAGAAGATCACCACAGGCCACCCCATGGAGGTCCCCGTTGACCTCCCACCCCCCGGCGGCGCTCCGCCATCCGGGCTCTGGCACGTGACGGCAGTGGCCTGCGGCGGCCGCCACACGCTCGCCATTGCGTTGTGGGCCGCCGACAACGAACCAGATGAGTAGCTGCTGCCAAGCTGAGGACGACGGAGCTGGCCAGCTCTTATCATGAAGGAGAATAACCAGAACCAGCCCCTAATTCGGAATGCCATAAGAACTCTGTAGAGAGAGAAAGCCTGCGATGATCCAGATTTTGATTGGAATAAACTTCTGACTATACTCTCAAAGCCCGGCCCTTTTTATAATCCGGCCCGGTTAGGCCTCGACATGTCCAGCTCAGAAGCCCGAAGCCCGTTCTTCTCTCTCTCTCTCTCTCTCTCTCTCTCTCTCTCTCTCTCTCTCTCTGAAAGACAGTGTTAGTGGGCCAGGGCATACGATATGAGGAAAAGCCTTGCCCAAGTCATACTGGACTAGGAAATATTTTGAATAAATTATCTATTATTTTAAAATAATAGGTTTATTATTTATTAATGGAAATACATTGTTTTAATTAAACGATAATGCATTATGTATATATCATGTGGAAATAAATTGCGTATTATGCGTAAATAGTGTTTGTAAATTTGATACAGATAAATAAATACATACATAAATGAAAACACAAATAAATGAATTTCTCTCTCTAGCTCTCTCTCTCTCTCTATCTCTCTCTTACTTATCTTCTAATTCATGGAATGGAGGACGAGGAGGCGCGGAAGGATTAGAGATATTGGGCGGACCAATCAGGCGGGGGAGGGTGCCACGTGGCGAGAGGAGGCGCCGTGGCGCCGAATAAGAGGGGGAAAGGGTTGGAGAGGGAGAGAGAGAGCGGCGGGGGAGAAGATAACGTGCTCTCGCAGGCCTACCACCCCAAAACTGTGGGGAGGCTTCTTCCGGCGAGAGGTCAACCACCAAGCCCATCTCCCCTCTTCAAGCGGCGTAGGTCCATGGCGGCGTCGGCGGCGGCAGCGTTCACTGCGACGGCGGCAGCAGCCGGCGGGACCGGCCGCCTTCCGGTCGCCGCGGCCGGCAACCCCCGCTCGCCCCTCCTCTTCCTCCCACCGCTGCCCTCGCCCCATCGCCGGGCGCTCTCCTGCTCTGCCCTCTCAGGTGCTCTTCTCCCCTCTCTATCTCTCTCTTCTTCCTCCTCCTCCTTGTTACAGTGTTCATAGCAAGGGCGGATGAGGCGGGGAGTGTAGGGTTTGGTCTCCCATGGCTGGAAAGAGGTTTTGATTTGTGGGGCAAGCTCCTCTTCTTTCTCCTCCTCCTCCTCCTCCACTTCTGTGTCGTTTTTCTCGTGGTGTCCGGAGGAAGATTACGCTAGGGCTCCTCCTGTTCGAATGCATCTCGGATTCGATGCTCATTATTTCGAACTGATCGACTATCAATGTCCAGACGGGGAGGGTGGGACCGTCGGCTTTGCCTTTTGTGCTTCGATCCCGATTGAGAACATGAATATGAAGTGTTTCTCAGTTTTAGCTTGTATGATTCGTGGAGTTTTATATCCTAAAGGGCATCCTCAATCGAGAATGGAGTTTGTGGCCATGCGCTTCCCTTGCTAGGGTTTTGGCTCTGCTATATCCGGCCCTCCTGGCTAGAGTCCTCGAATTGATGATTCTGGGTATTCTCGTGGATATTATCGAAGGAATTTTTAATCGGATTATGAGTTGACTTAAGATGCATAATTTTTAATGAAGGGTATGTGATTCTTGTTGATGCAGGAAAATTTATTTTTTTATTAAAATTAAGAAAAAATGTAATCTCTGTCCAAAATTTTCGTTTTATTTGATAAACATCTCAAGACTTGTTTCTCTACGAATGTTTAGGCTTCAGTCTTCTGAGCATTTTTCATATCTTATGGTTAATTCTTATAATCTAACCTTTTTTTCTTATAATAAATAGTATTATAAGTATCTATGTGAAATAAATCTTCTGACTTGATGAACAACTAATGGAACCTTCTTTTTGCAGTTATTCAAACTGAGCGCACCTCATCTCTGATATTCAAAAAAATAAATATTTTAGATCATTTCCATCATTGAAGAATTTTTTCATATGGCCTAATTATTCCCAAGGATGGATGGCGCAGATAAAAGACTAATTTTGATTTGATTTGATTTATTTTTTTTAAAATTTCCACAGACACACGCAGATTTTCCCAGCTCGTGGTGAAGGCAACTTCTTCAGAAGAGGGTTCTGGCTCTGTTCAAGTTGAAGAGCTCTTCTCAGATTTGAAGGAGAAGGTACGTGCTTTCTCCAAACTATATGATTCTTACTTGAACTTATCCAAAATCTCAGAACTTATTTTCTTCTGTTCCGTGGCAGTGGGATGGCATTGATAACAAGTCAACGGTGTTGGTCTATGGAGGAGGTGCTCTAGTGGCAGTATGGCTGTCTTCCATTGTAATTGGCGCCATCAACTCTGTTCCTCTGGTACATCCCTCACTGTTTTCTAGTTGTATTATTTCCTTCGGGAAATTTTATAAAATAATGTATCTAGGCTATAGAAATACGTATTTTTAGTAATCTTTATCAAAATTTCCGTTCCTAGCCACCTTGTAAAATATTTAATACTTTCTGAAAAATCACTTCTCATGCTCCTCCCAGCTCCCAAAGATTATGGAATTGGTTGGTCTGGGGTACACAGGCTGGTTCGTCTACCGATACCTTCTCTTCAAGGTAACTCTTAACCCTTTTCCTCTAATTTCCGGGAGTCATAAATTTGGGTATTTTGGGATTAATGATTAGATAGTGATCCTTATCTTCTTACGTTAAAACTGTTGGTTATCCAACTCTAGTCCTATTCTCATGAGTGGAGCAGGCTCATCTATTTGACCTCTATACTTATTTTATTTCGATATAGGACTATTTTTAGCACGTCTCCTCACATGTAAGTTGACTTTTGTGTTATTTCCTCTGATCAAAAGAAATAGAGTACATCACGGTCCGTGAACAGTTATTTAACTTTTGACTTCATATTACAGTCATGCGCCATCAGTTCAAAAGTAATTATCATCAAAATAGAGTTGACCCATATATTAGGTATATGATTTTGTCCACTATACCTATTCACGTGTGTGGAGCAGGCCCATATGTTTGACCTCTATACTTATTTTACTTCAATATAGGACTATTTTTAGCAAGTCTCCTCACATGTAAGTTGACTTTTGTACTGTTTCCCCTGATCGAAAGAAATGGAGTACATCACAGTCCTTGAACAGTTATTACCTTTGACTTCATATTACAGTAATGCGCCATCAGTTCAAAGTAATTATCATCAAAATAGAGTTGACACATATATTTTGGTACACGATTTTGTCCCCAATGTGAGGCAGTTCTAAAAACTAGATTAACTAATAATCTAGTTTTTTTCTTTTTCTGAGTCAAATTTTTTGAGGGAAGAGACCCCTCTTAGCCATCAATCAGTCCGTGCTGACTATTTTCAATGCACTGGGTTCTTAGCTTCACTTGAAAGTATTGCATCAGCGGATCCAATCCAACCTGATTGAGATCCCAGTGATCCTGACACCAACTAATATGATCTAGATTAGTGTTCATAAATGCTTTTCATGGAGATTAACGGACTTTATCTGCGAAATAAATTCAAGGGTGATGCTTCATAGACAATTTATGTGGGATTGAAACTATCTTCATTCAGATATTACTCTTGGAATACGAGAGAAATCATGTTATATGGATCCCAGAACAACTATGTCATTGAACTTGTTAGAATCTTCCAGAAAAGAATGGTTAATGCGCAGGAATCATATGGATCGATGACTGATAAAATCTCATTTACCATTGCAGTCGAGCAGAAAAGAGCTGGCCAGTGACATCGAAGATCTGAAGAAGAAGATCGCCGGAACTGAGTAGCTGCTGTCTGATGAGCTGTTCTCAGATTGCTCTTTGTGGGATTTTCTCGAACAAAATTTATGAGAGACAGAGCAACCTCGTAATGTAAACACCGTGCCATCATCGTTGTAAGCATTTTTTTTTTCTTTTTACTGTCTAATGAATGACAAGTACTGCCTTCGATGATCTTCTTCCTTCTTCTTTTTTATTTTAAAAAAATGAAACCGCTGGTTAATTTTTAATGACGGGTAATATAATAATATCAGTAATTATTTTACTTGGGTTCGATTTTTCGCTTGAATCGATTACTGAAAAACTAATAATATAAGAAATTATTTCACATAGATTATGGTGTCGATATGTCATAATGCCCCTAATTTATAATTAAGTATTTTCAAAATCATATAAATTGATTAATTCTGCCACTTATGATCAAGCGTCCGGCTAAAAAGCCTTAGTCTCTCTCTCTCTCTAGCCCCAACCCATTTTACGTGCTTTGGCTTTTCAAAGTGGACACAGACGGGGCCTGTAAATGGGCCTGACCCATTTATATCGTCTCTCTTCAGAGGCTTTCCATTTGGATGTTAATGGGCCTTGTATCCAGGCCCAGCCTTTTATTTAGTTTGGGCCATAAACAAGACGGAACCCAAATTAGCCCAATAAATGTTTGACCTGTGTTCACACGTTTTCTATTATTTTATAATTTTCGAGAAAAGCCCACTTTAGTAAACAAGTTGAACGGTTGCCCATATTAGCCTTTTCTGACGGTCATTGCTACCCATTTGTCATTCTTCTACACACTTCCCTCATAAAAACAATATTAATATTACTCATCTGATCATTAATTTATTGCCGTAAATAACCACATCTGAGCATCTTTTGCAAGATACAAAAATGGATGTCGACATGGGTTGACATTTTGGTCCACCACAGATTGACCAATCTGTGGTTTCCTAGTATGGTATTCATTTTGGTTAAGTTTATGACGTGTCCACTAGAAGAAAAGTCAACGATTGCTGACGACTCTCCCCTCCTATGATGTCACCATAGATTGCCCCATCACGGGATGCTGATGATTTCAAGAATTTAGTATTTTTTTAATTAATTTTTTTCAGTATTAAAAATGTAGGGCTATCAGTGGATGTAGCTAGGCTAGTGGGCCCAATAGGCTCTGGTTAGTGGGCCATAAATAAATAAAAATAAAAATAAGGGATTAAATAAGGAGAAAATGCAGGCATGAAATACTGGGCTTTGTCAAAACCCAGCTCCCTGCTAGATGTAATCTCCTAGTTGGGCTTTGGTTTTTATGGGCTGTAAAATTGCCCAGTTTGATCCAGCCTCCAGGTAAGAATGGACGGTCGGGCTTACGGGCTGGAACCCACTTAAGCCGGGCCCGGTAAAATGATGTACTTTTGGGGCCGGGACTAAAAGTTTCTAATTTAAGAAATGCCAATGAAGTAAATAATATTTCAAAATAATACACGTGTCCCGTGAAAAATTATTGTGTGAGGAGCTGTCGACGACAGCTGCGGTCTGGAGGGGGCGCTTGCCACGCGTGAGGATCGCTTAGTTGTCTTATTGGTTGACGTACGGAGTCGATGTGACTCACGACGGAGGAGATGGGAGGGGCGGTGGATTTGACCGCGATGTAAATATGTAATGCGTTTCACTAGACTAGTCAGTAGCCAATAGAATTGGAACACAGCCTCGTGGGAGTCTTCAATTGAGAAACGTAGGGTTCCCCTGGATTTGAGGCAGAAGCAGGGGGAGATCCGTAGCAATCTGATTGGGTGGTCGACGGGGGACGTGTGCGGCGAGGCCTTTTTGGGACCAAAGACCTCCTGTCCTCTGTCTGTCTGTCTGTCTCTCTCTGCGCGGACGGTGAAGGCGGACGGAAGAGGAGAAGAGGTTAGGGTTAGGGTTCGATGCGCTTTATGATCTCCTCTGATCTTCTGTGCTTGTTTGTTTGTTTATCCATTCCCCCTCCGAGTTCGGCGAGGATCAGCGCTCACTTGTCTGCAATACTGGTCAGATCCGCGGTTGGAATGTTTGCTGGGATCTGATCCCACGGTTTCTGGTGTTCGTTTGCACGTCCGGTTTTTGTTGTTATTTCTTTTCTCCGGATATGGAGGATTCGTTTTTCTTAGTTTCCCTTTTGGTTTTGTTTGAATTTTTGGCTTTTCCCGAGTTTTTCTTCGGTTTTTTGTGATTCATTTTCGTTTCCTTGGAAGAGAATCCGATCCAGCAGGGTTCTATCTCCTTCTATGATTAAGTTTTATGGTGTCCATCCATTTTTTTATGATTCCGTGGATTTGGTTGTGAGTTTTGGATTTGTTCCTTCATTGCTGTTTCCGTGGGTTTGGTTGGTCGTAAGACAGCATCAGTATCTCCCTTTCTTTGCTATTTTTTCTTCTGTTTTTCCCCTTTTTTTTACGATGATCTCTTTCTCTCTCTCGCTCGATCGCTCGCTCGCTCAGGAAGACGCATGAATCTGGTTTCTTTTCTACTTTTCAGGGACTGTGATATCACCCTAGCTAAGCGAACATGTCGCTGGTGGAATCCTCAAGGGAGGAAAATGTTTACATGGCCAAGCTTGCCGAGCAGGCTGAGCGCTACGAGGAGATGGTCGAGTTCATGGAGAAGGTCGTGAAGGCTGTGAACACAGAGGAGCTGACCGTGGAAGAGCGCAACCTCCTCTCGGTGGCCTACAAAAACGTTATCGGCGCGCGCCGCGCATCGTGGCGTATCATCTCCTCCATTGAGCAGAAGGAGGAAAGCCGTGGCAACGATGACCATGTTGCCCTGATCAAAGATTACAGAGGTAAGATCGAAACAGAACTCAGCAAGATCTGTGACGGCATCTTGAAGCTCCTCGATTCCCACCTTGTCCCCTCTGCCGTTGCCGCCGAGTCCAAGGTCTTCTACCTCAAGATGAAGGGGGATTACCACAGGTACGGTATTAACAAATCTGTTGGAAACATTATCAACTGGATGCCTTGAGTTGCGTTTGTTTGATTCATCATCCTTCCAACACTGTAGGTACCTGGCTGAGTTCAAAACCGCAGCTGAGAGGAAGGAGGCTGCAGAGAACACATTGCTGGCGTATAAGGCTGCCCAGGTATATCACGTGGGATGTGCGGTTTACTCTGGCTACCTACCTCACGTTGCTTGAGGTAGTGTTACTGGGTTTTGACATTTATTCTGTTCACTTATTTCTGATGATATTTAGGACATTGCACTGGCGGACTTAGCACCCACCCATCCGATCAGGCTTGGGCTTGCACTGAACTTCTCTGTGTTCTATTATGAGATTCTGAATTCCCCGGATCGTGCCTGCAATCTTGCGAAGCAGGTTTGTCAATTTGTCTGTGCATTCTCCTTTCTGGTCTCTGTTTAATCATTTTTAGATTGATTTAATCATTCATACTCCGTGCTATACCTCTTGTATTTTTCTTTTGATTTCAAATGTTTCTATTCTTTCATTTTGCCATTTTTCCTTTGTAGTACTATTTTTCTCATTGGTCATTCTCTTATGTTCATAATCTACTTAATTTTCCAAGCATGCGGAATTATGCAGGCTAGGTAACCACCATTACTATTAGTCTGTGTGAATTAAGTGTAACCACGTTGTCTTTTAATAGGAGTGTGAAAAGCTTTTGAACATGGTGGAAAGATAATATTCTAGAGAAAAACGTTGTTGTCTAGGGATCTAGAAGTTTCACATTCACATGTTCAGGTTGTAGATTTATTCTTTGTAGACATGGTTTGGGCATAGCTCTTTTTTTTTTCCTCCCTAGTGAGTGTCCTTTGGATTGAAATTTCTTTGAAAGTGTCCCCTGGCAGACAAAGTTGCGTTGATAACCAAGGCGGTTACCTAGGGCATTCCACGGGAGATGTTGATACTTTAATTGCCAAGGTGGGCCTCGGCCCAATTGCCTTTTCAGGCTGGTGCCAATCTGGCTGTCTTGTCGCCTTTGCAGTGTAGTGGACCATTGCCTTCGTGTCCTAGTAGCACTAGGAATATGAAGAAGCACTCAGTCGTATCCAGAATCCTTGGATCATTATAAACTTAGACGGGGTTTGTTAAGGCACAGAGTTCGTATTTGCCTTCGTCTTCTTCCTCGTATTGCGCCTTTTGGCCATGTCGTGGGAGGGTCTGTTGACTGAATATTTGATTGATAGAAATTCCTGAACAATAAGTTAGTGTAAATATATCAAGAATAATTTTCCACGTTCAGATGTGGGGCATTCTCGCTCTATTGAAACGTTCATCTATGTTTTCAATTTTATCCTTTTCGGGGAACTGTTCTCCCCCAATGTTTGATCATTTCAAGGCGAAACTTGCAATTCCCCCAACCATGGATTCAAAAAAAAAAAGAAGAAGAAAAATTGAGAAAAAGAAACATTTATATATCTGATTCGGGCATATTATTGATTTTTGGTTCTTGCACATGCAGGCCTTCGACGAGGCAATATCCGAGCTGGACACGCTGGGCGAGGAGTCCTACAAGGACAGCACCTTGATCATGCAGCTCCTCAGGGATAACTTAACCTTGTGGACCTCTGACGCTCCGGTTTGCCTTCTTCTCTCTTCAGCTCTGTGGTCTCTCTCTTTTTTTTCTGCATTAGTTTCCTTTTATTGCCTTTATTCGGATCAAGAGGAAATACGTCGGAGACACAAGAGCTCTTTGAACCGCTGTCGTCAGAAATAGATGGAGAATCTTCTCCTACATACCGCAGGATTTCGTTCGGATTTGTAATGGTTGATAGATTTCAAGAGAAAGAGATGCTGGTTTATACACTCGGAAGATGGTTGGCAGAGGAAAAAAAAACTTCTTATAATATGGGTAGGGGTTTTTATTTCGATTTCATGATGGATTTATTTAATGCCATTCTGTCCCACGCAATGAAAAGTCAAAATTTAGGTTGAAATCATCATCACCATTATCATCATCATCATCATCATCATCTTCCTCCTTATGCTCTTTGAATCAATTAATGGCCACTGCTAGCCAAGAACCTCAAGTGATGTAGATCTCTGGAATTGAATGAATCTAGCCATAATATGACTAATTCTAGTCCAAAACCTAATTTAGGTTGAAATCATCATCATCATCCTCATGTCCATCAAATCAATTAATGGCCACTGGTAGTTCTAGATCTCAACTGATGTTGGTCTCTGGGATTGAGTGGTTCTGGCCGAAATAGGATGAACTCCACAGATATAATCTTCCTTCCATTTTCGGGTTGGTTCATCAGTGCCATCATCTGCATTTCTCCTTCTCATTGACTTTCTTTCCTTCAGGACGACGGCGGGGATGAGATCAAGGAAGCCCCCAAACGCGAGGCTGGGGACGGTCAGTAAAGGAAGGGGCGGTGGGCGGATGGGTAGGTGTGGGTCCCCCCCTCCGCCACCACCTTGGACATTGTTCTTGTCGGGTTTCCGTCAACGTTAATGGGTCTTCCTTTCCTGCTTGTACCAGTAATAAGTAGCCTTTAGTCCTCACACATCAAGTCGCCGTCTTTATTATTATCATCATTACTCACGTTCTCTCTCTCTCTCTCTCTCTCTCTCTCTTCCACGTCTAGCAATGTGGGTTCCTTCATTTTTGTCATTTATCTCGAAGTAGGCCGCGCATCTAGGTTACCGCGACCACATAGATATGAAGGCGATTCCCAGCCTTTTTCTCCAGCGTTGACTTTTAGCAGGATTTTTCTCCATGTCATGCCCGTTTATCTACTTTTAGAATGGATGCGTGATTCAAAATAGAGTTAAGTTTACTCTTTATATGAGGATGCAGTCAGTGTAAATGAGCCGAAAGTCAACATGCTGGGCTCGGCCCAGTTACTTAGTTTGGGCCTCAAAATGCAGCCCAATATTAAAAAACCCCGAGCCCTTCGACTACTTATACATCTGTCGTTGACCTGGAGCTTCTTAGTGTGATTGATGTACACTACCAAGAAAGAGTTTTAAGGATTTTAGTGATTTCAAAAGTCAATAAGTTATTTAAATAAGAGTTAAATTCACGATATATTAGTTGTTGTAGAGTGAAAATGGTCCTGTAATATAAAGGTCGGCCCGACCCATGAACTCAAAACAAGCCCAATAATAAAAGTCAGTGCTTTCATCTCACCGGTTGCGAACGGTGCACGAGATGCCACGTGCCCGGTATAGGAGGGTCAGAAAGGCGATGACGTCATCCCGTTGTTCGATATTCATCACCGAACGGCTGGAGCGAAGCTTCTGCGGCTCCGATGAACGCGATCTTCTCCATGGCCTCTGCTACCCCTCCGCCGACGACCCCTTCCAATACAGTAAGCAACCGACCATCGCCATCCACTCTCTAACCTCCCCTCTCTCTCTCTCTCTCTCTTTCTGGGCAGGTGGGGATCAAGCGACCGCTGCCATCCTCTCTCTAATCCATCACCGTATTCTCTCTCTATCTCTCTCGCCGGCCCACTTGTTGTTTCTCTCTCTCTGTCTCTCCCTCTCTCCGGCTGAAATCCCCCCTTCCTCTCTCTCATTCTCTCTCTTGTGGTGGGCAGGTGAAGGTGGTGATCAAGGGGAGGGTACAGGGGGTGTTCTTCAGGAACTGGACGGTGCAGAACGCGCGAGAGCTCGGTCTCAACGGGTGGGTTCGCAATCGGCGTGACGGCTCGGTGGAGGCCGTCTTCTCCGGCGAGCCCGCGAAGGTCCAGGAGATGGTGGACCGCCGCTGCCGGGTCGGCCCCCCCGCCGCCGTCGTCACCGCCCTCCACAAGACCGCCGCCGCCGCCGGCGAAGAAACCGCCGCCGGCGAGGGCTTCCACTGCCGGCCCACCGCCTGAAGAAAGAACGGCAGCTCCATCTGTTTTTGTATCACTCCTTGAAATCGTACTGCTCTGCTTGCTGCTGGTGATCTGTGTGTATCTCTTGTTCTCTCCGGTCGTTGATGTAAAGGGAAGGCTCAGAACTGCGTGTGCATCCCCGAACTTCTTGAGGACCCTTTGAGACGGTGAAAGACTTGCGCACCCGGCATGAGGGCGAACTTGAGTGATAGAGAGAGAAACAATAATAAATAACTAAGAAGCCCTCCATTTCGTATCGCAAAGACAAAAGTATTCTATACCAATTGACAAGTGTGGACTTATACCACTGGAAGTACTTAAGACTCCCCCTTCAAGATGACCTGTAGATGTATTTAACAGCCATCTTGGAGCATAAAAATGATAAACGAGAATGAAGTGTTTGCTAATTGACAATCCTAACGAATTGCATAAGTTTGATGATGCCGCTTACTAACTTTGTACGTATGAAGTTACATTCAATCTGAATGTGCTTTCTGCATTCATGAAACATGAGATCTAACGCAACATGAATAACAACTTGAATGCCATATAATAAAGGGTTAGAAGAGGCATTTTAATATAAAATTCATACGTTAACTATTGTATCCAAATAATCTTAATAGTTTTAATAGTTAATGCATGATACTTGGCTTTAACTGATGAGCAAGATATAGCCAATTATTTCTTTGACTTCCACAAAATAAGAGAATCAATGTGAAAAAATACAAAACTCAGCAACTGATTTGGAGAATTTGGACAAGTGGTCCAATCTTCATCAGAGAAGGGCTGAATTAGTAAAGAAGATGATCTATAAAATAACAACTAACCTTTGACTAGGTGTGACTTTCAATTAACAAACGAGGTGATGTGCTACATGTAAGTGTGGAAGATGTAGTTGAGCTATAAATTGACTTAATTTGTGTATTACAAATGTGATGTCAAGACATGAAAATATCAAGTATGAAAAACAACTAATGAGCTAGTGAAATTAGGACAGATCTTCCACTAATTGCTCTATTGTAGTGTTGAATGGTGTTCAAAGATTTATAGAAACTATAATAGGTCCATATTAAAAAGGTATCGTGTTTTCTATTAGTTGTGAAGTGTAATGTAGTTGAGATAATATAATCTATAGTATGAAATAGGTAATCTCTAAGCCTAAGAAATATCTTAAAGAGTTAAGATCTTTGAGTTTAAACTAAGCATGTAAGAAAATGCATACCAAAGGAATGAAAATGATAACTTAAAATACCATTATCTAGAGGCTTGAAAAAGTCCATATATAGATTTATGAAGCTTGCAAATAAATTTTCCTATTTATGGATGGTTTTCCCTTGATAAAAAAGGCTAAATTGTGTATCCATATAAATTTGTTAAAATAAGTCACCAAGAAGAAATGTATTATTAATATCAAATTTTTCCATATGTTAATAGTTTTTAGCTACAAATGTAAATAGACTTTGGAACATGAGAATATGTTTTTGAGAAAATTCATTCTGATTTATATCAATAGATATGAGAGTGATAGAGGTGACATCAGATTTATGCTATGATGATCCACGAGTAAGGAATTATTTATTATAGGAATAATTTTTAGTATGAAATGATCCTCATATATCACAGTACATTAAATCAAATAGATGTTTAGAAATATTATTGTGACATACACAAGATAAATGCCTATGTTTATCTAAGGGGTAGATACAATAATACTTTTTTTTAAGATCATTAGTAAAAGATAACTAAATTTTTATCATGTCAAACTCTTATCAATTGTGCCAAAATTGAATTATTGCACTATTGACATAAATCTGAAATGTTATATAATCATCAAGAATGTGGGATCTATAAACATCAAAATGTAGAGGTCATTCATTCTTTTACTCTTGCCAATCCTTATTTTGCGAGAGAGATCTTAAATCATAAAATGGTCAAAAAAATTGAAGTCAAATATAATAATCAGCTATCAAGTCAATAACTGATTATAATTGAATTTAAATTTAGGGATAAATAACACATCTTTTAGAAGAAATTTGAATTAAATCATATATCACCATGTAAATTAATTAAGATGTGTGTATTATTAGATAATGCCATTCATGAATTTTAAATTAGGAGTAGAAAAATAAATACATTTACATTTTAATATATATGTCTTGATACTTAAGAATCAATTATCCAATAGTTGTAAATATTGAGGGTCCAATGAAATTGAGAATTGAATGCCTTATGACATTCTTGTTTACAAGATGACAATGGAATTCAGAAGTAAATGATTTAGTCGTTTTCTAATTTTTTCATATAGAATTTTTCCTTTTTTTCACTATTTTTCTTAATGTTGCGATGAACCGAATTGACGTACTTGAAAAGATCTAGTTCTCTCTCTCTCTCTCTCTCTCGCTCCATATATATATTTTTCCCGGACCACTGCTGATGGCTACTCGTTCTTCTTTTCTCACTCTTGCAGAATAGCGCCAGAGAGTTGTATCTGAAGCGCCTGGCTGAGCAGTCCCCATGCGGATGCTTGTCATCTGAGCAGCCCTGTCCGTCTCAGCCTTGACGTCGTTGTCTGTTCGACCTTGTTCTCTCTCTCTCTCTCGTGGATGGTAAGAAACGTCAGGAGGAGAGTGGAAAAGAGGGATTACAGAGGGTCGTGAGAGTGTCGTTTTCTCTTCCTTTCAAGCATCTCTTCAATTCCCTTCACTAAATTGGGTTTCTCTATCTTCCTGATAACTTATAATCTCGTCATTGGTAGCAAATCATAGAAAACATAAGGTATGGGCAAACAGAGATGGCATCTGAGACCGAGTTCTCCTCAAGTGGGCGTGAAAGAGCAGACGAAACGTTGTACGTTTTGGTCATTGATTTATCGAATGATTGGGAGAGAGAAATAGATAGATAGAGAGAGATGTTGAAAGCTTACTATTATCGGTGTGTCTTCTAACCCCAGCGCGTTATGATATTCTACGCTTGTCGATGGCCATCTACACGCGTTTTCTAGCATTTAATTCATCTCTGAATAGATTTCATGGAGATCCAAGGTCGAAGGGGCAACGAAGCTGAGGCATTGTCGAAGGGCTGTCTAGCTGACAAGAATGCCCATGGGTACTGACATCCTGTGTTCTTCTCCACGGTTTATCCAATGCCAAGGCTTACTTTTGGTATGATCTCTCTCTCTCTCTCTCTTCCTTCTCTCTCTCTCTCTCTCTCTCTCCTCTCTCTTCTCTCTCTCTCTCTCTCTTCCTTGTCTCTCTCTCTCTCTCTCTTCTCTCTCTCTCTTTTCTCTCTCTCTCTCTCTCTTCTCTCTCTTCTCTCTCTCTCTCTTCTCTCTCTCTCTTTTCTCTCTCTCTTCTCTCTCTTCTCTCTCTCTCTTCTCTCTCTTCTCTCTCTTCTCTCTCTTCTCTCTCTTCTCTCTCTCTCTTCTCTCTCTTCTCTCTCTTCTCTCTCTTCTCTCTCTCTCTCTCTCTCTCCCTCTCCCTCTCTCTCTCTCTTTGTCTCTCTCCCTCTTTCCTCTCCCTCTCCCTCTCCCTCTCCCTCTCTCCTCTCCTCTCCTCTCCCTCTCCCTCTCCCTCTCTCTCTCTCTCCTTTCCCTCTCTCTCTCTCTCTCTCTCTCTCTCTCTGTCTCCCTCTCCCTCTCCTTTCCCTCTCTCTCTCTCTCTTCTCTCTCTTCTCTCTCTCTCCCTCTCCTTTCCCTCTCTCTCTCTCTCTCTCTCTCTCCCTCTCCCTCTCCCTCTCCCTCTCTCTCTCTCTCTCTCTCTCCCTCTCTCTCTCTCTCTCTCTCTCCCTCTCCCTTTCCCTCTCTCTCTCTCTCTCCCTCTCTCTCTCTTTCTCTCTTTCCACCTTCTCCCTCTCTCTCTCTCTCTCTCTCTATCCTTTTAGTGATGCATATAAATCCGCAACAGCAGAAATACCTAATAAATTCAGAGGATATCCCTTGGTTTAGCCTTTTCTTTGACTGCCAAAAACGGCGTCTTCTTTGGAGGTTTTGCCCCCGGAAATGACATACTGTTCACAGGTCAAATGAGAGAGAATTCGGAGATCATTTGACCAAGAATGGAAATGGGTTATTGGGACGTGTGGTTCGAGAGACGGATGGCTTCACCTACTGACCTCTAAGTCAGACACGGGGGGAGCACACGTGCGGCTGATGGTGAGGGGGTCTTCTCCCTTAATCCCGTCCTTCGCCTCCTCCGGCTGTCTCTGGGGTTGGCGGGCTGCAAGTCGGTGGTAGTTGCCTCCAACGTCGCGCGTGCCGACCATGCCCCAATCCTACTCCACATGCAACGATGGCGTTCTCTCTCTGGCCCACCTCCTTCGTTGGGTGGGAGAGAAGAGAGAGAGAAGAGTGAGAGTGAGGTGAGTGAGTGAGTGAGTGAGGGGGAGAGAGAGAGAGAGAGAGATCGAAGGCGACTGCCTTCCCCTCTTACGTATCTTCACGGAGGCCCTCCTTAAAACCCAGCTCCTATTGTGTGCCCGCAAGCAATCCTCGTTAATAGGGGATGAATCTTAGGGATGACCTCTATCTCTCTCTTTTCTCTCTCTCTCTCTCTATCTATCTATGTATGTATCTTTATTTCTGTCTGTCTGTCTGTCTGTCTGTCTCTCTCGCTATCTATCTATAGATCTATCTATCCATCTCTATGTTTGTCTCTCTCTTGCTCTCTATCTATCTATTTATCGATCTATCTCTATGTCTGTCAGTCTGTTTGTCTCTTTCTGTCTCTACCTCTGTCTGTCTCCCTCTCTCTCGTACATACAACCGGTGGAGTCTTAACAAGTATTGGCTTTTGAGAAAAGTGGGTACTTTGAAGAATAAGGCCAAGTATTCGATTCATGGAAGATGAATAATTCTCTCTCTCTCTCTCTCTCTAACAAAAAGAGGACGGTCATAGGTACATTAGACAGAGAAAGAGGAGAGAGAGGAGAGAGGGAGAGAGAGGGAGAGAGAGTGAGAGAGAGTGAGAGAGAGTGAGAGAGAGAGCACACAGTGCTGATGTCCA